TTGGCAATTAAGGTCCTTGGGGCGTGGCAAGTAATTGATTTAGTGTTGCAGATGGCAAACTCAAACTCAAAGGAACAACTGCTGCTCAAATTTTAATAGTCAAGAAATGGAAAACACAAGAACTACCAACTGTGGAAGAATGGCAGATGAAAATGATGGAATATATGGAGCTGGCTGACCTTACTGGAAGAATCCGCGACCAAAAAAGAAGAGGAATACCAAGAAGAGTGGAAGAAATTTAAGGACTATTTGAATAAATACTGTGATATTAAAAATTAGAAATTACTTGAAAGTACCAAAATAGGCCTAGGATTAAATTAAGAGTTAATTAAATAAATAAGATTTTGAACTTTAAGGAAAGTTAAGAAATTTTATTTTAATTGGAATATTGTGTTTTTAAAAAATGATATCAGAAAACTGCTACATTTTAATTACAAGGGAATTCAGATGGGAGGGCTCAGAGGAAGCCTAAAATATGTTTATGAGGTTAGAAGTCTAATTAATTAATTAATTTGTGTTGTTTAGGTGTTTGCCGGTATTTTGTTTTTACTCTCTTTTTTGTTTATATTTGTGATTTTGTCTTTTTTCTTTTTGTGTTTTTTGTGTTTTTCTTTTGTTGTGATATGTGTTGCATCTGCAAGAAACTTAATAAAAATTATTTTTTTAAAAAGAAAAGGAACATTGCAGGCAAGTTGGTACCTCTTTCATGAAATGGAAACCAAAATCAGGGATATTACCATAACCAAGGACCATATACACAGAATGCAATGGCTGTTCTTTCTTTTGCGATGGGACATGTTTTCGGAAATACACTTTGTTCACATTGCCACAGGAACATAGATAATAACTTACTCAATTACTGTGTCTCAGAGGTCTCCGATAAAGTTTTTATATTCGTCTAAACGCTGCAGGATAAAGCATGAAAGATGCTCAATTTCTTTGAAAACCAGACTTGTGTAAAAAGGCAGCTCTACCTCCTTCATCTTGCTGAATTTTCCATTTCAGGGGATGTAATTTGGGTTTTGCTATACAGCTAGCTAACATGAAAGTGCAGCCTTTAATTTTTAATTAACTTATGCAATAACTTCCACCATGACTCAAACACCCATTATCAAGCTTTAAAACTGAAATGTCATTCTCCCAATAGGATAACTTTGCAGATCATTTCTTTGCCATGCTTTTGAGACGTCTCGCTCGAAGACAAATTTTGTACAGTGTCGTTCGGCATATATACAGTACTGTACAAAAATGTAAGCATAAGAAGCTACAAAAGAGTTGCAACAGCTGAAGCTAGGATTTCCTAGTGAATGAACAAAATCTGAACCCACAAACAGTGCAATCCTATAGATATTAGCTTAGTTTCACTGGGTTTCCTGTTCCCAGGTAAGCACGCATAGGATGGGAGTCTTGCTAGCGCAAAACTTCTTGCTTATACCCCAGGGATAGATCCTAGATTGGTTTTTGGGATTCAGTACACTGGAAAGTCTTTCAGTTTCTCTTAAATTAATTCTCTTAAATTAACACCGCCATCCCATTGCAAGTAAGGCCTGTTTGTGCTAATGGTGCACAATTTTTGCTGCATGCTGTACAGGTATTCAGTGTGCTTGGTCTTTTACAGCCACCAGCAGGCCTGGTGAGGCTGTTGGGAAGTGACCACGCCTAGTGAGCTTAGGGAGACATGGCCACGTTGTTATGGTTTCCTTCTCATCCTCTTCCCTTGCAAAGGCATTGTGGACACTTAAGCATTACAGTTGCACAGATACTTAAAAGGTAAAGGTAAAGGGACCCCTGACCGTTAGGTCCAGTCGCGGACGACTCTGGGGTTGCGGCGCTCATCTCACTTTATTGGCCAAGGGAGCCGGCGTACAGCTTCCGGGTCATGTGGCCAGCATGACTAAGCCGCTTCTGGCGAACCAGAGCAGCGCACAGAAACGCCATTTACCTTCCCGTCGGAGCGGTACCTATTTATCTACTTGCACTTTGACATGCTTTCGAACTGCTAGGCTGGCAGGAGCAGGGGCAGAGCAACGGGAGCTCACCCCGTCACAGGGATTCAAACTGCCAACCTTCTGATCGGCAACCTTCTGATCCACCCCACCCCACCCCACTTTCTCTACCTTTAACAGTTGCCTGAAAGACAGAACTTCCTGACAGTAAGAGCTGTTCGACAGTGGAATTTGCTGCCAAGGAGTGTAGTGGAGTCTCCTTCTTTGGAGGTCTTTAAGCAGAGGCTTGACAACCATATGTCAGGAGTGCTCTGATGGTGTTTCCTGCTTGGCAGGGGGTTGGACTCGGTGGCCCTTGTGGTCTCTTCCAACTCTATGATTCTATGATTCTATGATTAAGTCCTAGGCTCTGTGGTTTAACCCACAGCGCCACCCGCGTCCCTGCACAGATACTTATCACCCATCAAAACTGAGAAGCATTTTAATTCAGAATTGCTTATACGTCGTACCTTGGTTGTCGAACACCTTGGTACTCGGACGTTTTGGCTCCTGAACACCGCAAACCCGTAAGTGAGTGTTCCAGTTTGCAAATGTTTTTTGGAAGCCAAACGTCCGACGCGGCTTCTGATTGAGTGCAGGAGGCTCCTACAGCCAATTAGAAGTCGCGCCTTAGTTTTTGAACTGTTCCGGGAGTCGAATGGACTCCCAGAACGGATTAAGGAATTAGGAGCGTCAGAAATAAATGGCATGAGCATGCACAGAGTGCACTTGCCTGACCAAATATGTTTGACGATTCCAGAACATCCATTGCTGGCCAAAAAGAAATGTGTGTCCCACGATGCCTTTGAGGAAGCGGCTGGGAATCGTGAGTGGGCTACTGCTATTGTACTCATGCCCTGCTTGTGGACTTCCTCATAGGCTCCTGGTTCTCCACTGTGAGACGAGACATAGACCTGATAGACACAGACCTGATAGACACAGTCTGATCCAACAGGGCAATTCTTATGTTTCTGTGTTCAGAAACGTAATTAGGGTTTCCAGAGCGAGACTCCAAGCAGGCTTGAACGGCAGCACTTTGAGAAATGCAGCAGCGGTGTGTACCTATCACACCTGGCAACGGTTTGTCACATGCTCAGCCCACCCTTCACCCAACAGCTCAAACCTGTTCAGTGGTTTTGGCGAAGATACAGCAAACCAGCCCAAGGTCACCCTGCGGGCCAACCCAAGCTCTGCAATGTAACCACAACCCTCCCCTCCCTCATACCAGTAAATACTTAATTACCACTACGTAAACCTGCTGTTTTAGAGTTGTCGCCTTCTCCCCCACCCCACCCCACTTTCTCTACCTTTAACAGTTGCCTGAAAGACAGATACTTTGGCTGAGAGCCCTGGAAGATCTGCTCCCTGCCTTACGGGCTTTTTTCCCACCTGGCTTGGGAGGGCAGGGCCCTGACTGACTCCAGCCACAAAAAAGAAGACTGCTGAACAGACTCTTGGCCTGTTGCTACTATTGATATTGATCTTTTGTAACTTTATTTCAGCTCTTCTTATAAATTATGTGGAAATTGTTCAGTTTGGCTGAACAATTTGATGTATGTTTCAATTTGGTTGTGTGCATTTTGATGTTTCTTTTATTGCTGTGAGATGAGCATAGCTGTCAACCTTCCCTTTGTTTGCGGGAAATTCCCATATTCCAGCACCGTTTCCTGCTACTTCCCGCTGCTATCCCGGATTGTTAGATATCCCGTAGACTGTCCCCGGGACTGGTGAGGCTGCTGATCCCTTATTTTCGAGGCTGCTGATCCCTTATTTTCAAATCTGAAAGTTGACATCTATGGAGATGAGCGCCACAACCCCAGAGTTGTCCGTGCCTGGACCTAATGGCCAGGGATCCCTTTACCTTTACTTTACCTTTGGTTATGTTTGTATTTATGTGATTCCCACCCCCCACCCCCCCGCTGCAAGTCTCCTTGAGCATGGATTGAATACAAATAAAATGATGCATACAAATAAAATGCATGTAAGTATGTATGCCAGGGGTGGCAACTCTAATCAAATATTGGGGGGGGAGGGAGACAAATAAGCCCTTCCCGTGCTGCATAATTGAGCACATGACAGGGAACACACTCACAATTTGAACGACAATGTCCATCAACCTGGGGGAGGGCCCTCACATATTTTATTGGGAGGGGAGCAAAGGGACCTCAGCCCCCTAGGAGCTGTTTTTATGTATACAGTGGTACCTCAGGTTAAGTACTTAATTCGTTCCGGAGATCCGTACTTAACCTGAAACTGTTCTTAACCTGAAGCACCACTTTAGCTAATGGGGCCTCCTGCTGCTGCCGTGCCGCCGGAGCCCGATTTCTGTTCTCATCCTGAAGCAAAGTACTTAACCTGAAGCACTATTTCTGGGTTGAGTCTGTAACCTGAAGCGTATGTAACCTGAGGTACAACTGTATATTCCAGGGGTGCCAACTTGAACCAAATATTGGGGGGGGCAGGTAAGCCCCGCGCCCTGCATAATTGATCACATGACAGGGAACACAGCCACAATTTGAATGACAATGTCCATCAACTTGGTGGGGCAGCCCCCTCAAATTGGGAGCGGGGAGCAAAGGATCCCCTAGGAATTGGCTCCTAGGTAGATATGCTAAGCATCTCTCCCCCCCCCCCTTTTATTGGGAGTTACTGAGTGGTTTTTGTTTTCATTTCGATTGTGTGTTTTGTGTCTTTGTGTCCAGATTTTATCCTGTGAACCAGCGGGTGTAGGGCAGTATAATAATAATAATAATAATAGTAATAATGAATTTGAGCACACCTCTGTGGCGGGAAAACCCACGTCGGGAAGAGGACGTCCTCCTCAGCTCCGGCAGGCCAACCAGCGCGCCCAGCCGCCCTGGCGGCCCCTCAGAAGCGGGCGGCGCCTGTCACCTCCCGGCGCTGAACGGAGGCAGGAGGCGGAGCGGGAGGCGGCGGCCCTCGAGCCTCCCTCCCGCCCCCTTCCCATGATGGCGGCGCGGCGGCGGCGGCGGCCGGGCCAGCGAGCGAGGGAGGCGCGGCTGCGCAGAGGTGCCGCCCCCCTCGCCTCACACTTGAGCGAGCGCGCGAGCGGCCTCTGAGGGGAGCGACGGGCCGCCGCTGCCGCCGCCTCTTTCCTCACACGACGACCACCGCGGCAGCGACGATGGCGGGAGCGGCGGGGCCGAGGGCTTGGGCAGCGGCTGCGTTCCCTGGCAGAGCGGTACTGGCTTCCCCGTCGTCCTCTCCCTCGCCCGTCGTTCTTCTGAGGGACTCGCCGCGGCGGAGGCAGCGCCGCCTCAGCGCCGGGCCCGCCCGCTGAAAGCCGCGGCGGCTCTTCTCCCTCAGCTGCCGGGTCCGGGGAAAGGAGCGAGGGCGGCGCGCTTTCGCCTACCCCGCCCCGCGCAGGGAAGCGGCCGAGCCTGAGAGGAACCGCAGCCAGACGGCGACGGCGAGGAAAGGCGGGCCATGGGCGCCAAGCAGAGCGGCCCGGCCGCCGCCAATGGCCGGACCCGGGCTTACTCCGGGGGGGACTTGCCTTCCAGTAGCGGCGTCGGCGGCGCGAACGGGCGGCCGGCAGGCGGCGCGGCGAGGTACACGCACCTGGCCCCGGGAGGGCAGCACCACGCGGGGCCCGGCGGCTCGGCCAGCGGAGCGGCGGTGGCGGCGTCGGCGGCGCCCCGGAGCAGGTCTCTAGGCGGGCCGGGCGCGTCCGGGGCTCGCGCGGCTCATTCTGCCTTCAACATCCCCAACAGCAGCGGCCTCTACGGCTCGCAGGACTCGGTCAGCAGCACCCCCGAGGAAGGGGGCAGGGAACGGGCCGCGGCCGGAGGAGGTGGAGGCGGCGGTGCTGGAGGAGGACACGGCAGCGGCGGGCCCCGGCTCGTCATCGGCTCGCTGCCCGCCCACCTCTCGCCTCACCTGTTCGGAGGTAAAGAGAACGCGGAGGAATGGCACACGTGTGGATGGGTGGATGCGTGAAAGAGAGGAGCGAAAAGGGGAGCGGCGGCGGCCGGGGGTCGGTAGAGCGCGAGGCTCTGAAGGAGATCAGCGTCGTGGGTTCGAGCACATAGATGTTTGCATTGCAAAGGGGGTTGGGCTGGATGACCCCCGAGGTCCCTTCCGACTCCTACGATTCTTACAGAATGAGAGTTGACAGGATCGTAGAGTTGGACTGGACCCTGAGGATCAACTAGTCCAGTGCAGGAATATGCAGTTGCCCCTTACCGGATCGAACCTGCAACCATGGATGTAGCCAGGAATTTTTTTTTGGGGGGGGGCGACCTTTGTTAGGAGTGCCAGAACCTCAGTTAGTTAAGGATTTTTTCTTGATTTGGGGGAGCAGCTGCCCCCCCCCATGTTTGCAACCTTGGCTTCTCAGCACCATGCTCTAACCAACTGAGCTAGTGCTTAGTCTAGACCAGTGGTTCCCAACCTTTTTTTGGCCATGCCCCACCTAAGCATCTCTGAAATCCTGATGCACCCCCCCATATAATTCTTACTATTCAAAAAGTGAACTCCTATTCATGTGGAGGAAGCCTAAAAGGCCATTCACTGTTAATAACTCATTCTCAAATTGCCCCCCTTAAAAATCAGTGTGCCCCATGTTGGGAACCAAGATTCTAGAGCGACATTTCTCACCCACCCATGCCCAAATGTGCTTGATTTTTGAGAGTAGGGGACTGCTAGTTTGGTGACTGTTAGTTAGGGCTTCCTCTGACTTTGTGCTTGCTGTTTTGACTGTACATCTTCTCTCTAAACGCCACTGGTGGTAGAGCCACGCTACCCACATGTGTGTTGTAGGGGATAGAGTGCTGAACCATGGACACCCAAGTTGAAATCCTTGCTCAGCCATGAAGCTCACTGGGTGACCTTGGGCTAGCCACTGACTCACCACCTGGCCTACCACGCAGGGTTGTTGTGAAGAGGAAATGGAGGGGGGGGGAGAACCACCTTGAGTTCTTGGGAGGAAAGGTGGGATATAAATGTAATTGTCATAGGATTGTAGAGTTAGAAGGGTCATCTAGTCCAACCACTTACAATGCCGGAATCTCAACCGAAGCATCCATGACAGATGGTCACCCAGCCTCTGCTTGGAAACTTCCAAGGAAGTAGAGTTCCCCACCTCCTGAGTGAGTCTGTCCCACTGTTGAACAGCTCTTACTGTCAGAAAGATCTTCCTTTATTTTGAAGTGAATCCGTTGGTTGGAGTTCCCAGCCTCCTAAGCAGAATAAAACAAGCTTACTCCCATCTTCCATGTGACAGCCCTTTAGATACTGGAAGGTGGTCACCTCTGTCTCCTCCTTATCATGTAAATGTATACAGAGGAGTTGTAAGTCCACCTGACAAGCAGTAGCAAGGTTTCTGTTGTGGGGGATAAGGCTGCTGCTGGTTCCATATATGGTTTGGAATAAAACCCACAGAAGTCAGTAGGGCTTGCTTCCTGTTCAGTTTGGCCAGGTTTGCTGACTTAACAGCAGCACAGCTCTATGCATGTCTGCTCTGAAGTTTCACTGAGTTGAGAGAGACTCGCCCCCCAAGTAGGTGTGCCTAGGATTGCAGTTTAAGACAGTAATCCTTCGCATACATAGTAGGGAGCAAGGTCCATGGAATTTACTTCTCAGCAGATGTGTGGAGGGTTGTTGTTCTCACCTAATGGCAAGGTGCTTTGCATGGATTTTGCTTGCTAACTTCATCTGAAGAATGCTGCAAAGTTTCACTGTTTCATCGACTGATTTTCTCCTTTTTGTGCTTCACATATAACACAGCGTTACAAGGGTGGCAGGTGGGCAGGGGTGTATCACAGATTTTTGCTGCTTCCTGCTTCTTTGAAGTAACTACTGAGAAGTTTTTTCTTAAATTCAGCAGATTAGGAAAATTCTTTTGCTCTCTGACCAGTGTGTGTCTTCTGCTTTGTTGGTTTGGATTTTAAAATGCCCTTGAAACAGGAACTGGAAAAACTAACTTTCAGCACTATACAATACCGCAAGTATTTATTTGGCCCACAACTTCAATAGCTGTTAGTAGTTCTATATTTCCTGCCAACCATTTATATAATTAGGGCTTAATTGGATAATGTATTTGCACATCCATGCAGTGTATTTAAATCTGACCAAAGTCTCTATTTAGATGCTGATGCAAGAATAGAAGCAGTTTGTTTCTAATTTTATGTTAATGAATTCGGAGGGTGTTTACAATTTTTTATTTTAAAAGATTTTATTGGAGTTGCAGCAGATTTGAAACAAAGTTTCTGTTCATAGGCAAAAACATTCAGATGGGGTAAGAGCAGTTCTAGTAACAAAAGTTGTACACAGATCTAATTCTGTAGTGTAATTATATAGAAGTGTAAACTATTGAAAAGCGGGTAAAATTGAAGATAGTGAAAGATAAAAACTAATTGTGCCATTTTACAACAAAATCTTATGTGCATATATACGGTACTTGGAATGAAATCCAATTGAGTTCAGTAGGAATTCAGCTTAAAAATAATATTGGTTTTTAAAATTTACAAGGTAGCTTGTTATAATTAATATGACATTAATAAGAATAGGGCAAATTTTGGTTCCGAATTCATGCAGAAATACTGCATTTTCTTGCAGCCCTATCTTTATAACAGTTCATCTAGCCTGGGGATGGGTAACATGTTGAACCAAATCTGTATTTGATTGTGTCTCTCACTTTTAATGGTGCTGACCTGTGTGAGGTCTCTAAAACCATAATTGTGTGTTGAGGAGTCTGTGAGAAGCCTGTATGATAGCAGTCTTCTGTAGGCTTGCATAGGAGAAGCAGCAAGGTGCTTGTTTCATCTTGTGAGCAAATAGGATGATGTAAAATTCATGAGACATCCTTTTCAAAACTGTGGGGTTCCTAGGATAAATGATGGTAGGTGCAACTGGCTGGGTCAGTGTTGCAGCTATGTTTTAGGAAATACCTCTGATCAACATCCTAATGTCCAGAATGCTTTCTCTTTTTTTTAGAAAGAGAAAATATATAACCAGAAAATTAATAATATAATATAATACTTAACCCACCAAAATTGGGCAGTCTGTATAGGTAGGCAGTCTTGCTCTGTGCAGTGAGCTGCTTCGTATTGTAGTGCTTTTGAGTTTCAAGGTTTCCCTTCTAATAAAACTTTGGAATGTAATTCTGTACATGTATACGCAGAAGTACCATTTAATTCAATAGGACTTACTCTCAGGTAAGAGGTATAGGACTGCAGACCGAGGGTTGCTTATTTTAATGTAGTATATCCTGTGCTTTCCCTGTATGCATAAAATAAACGATCAAAATGTAAGAGTTTCAGTCAGCAGCTTTTATGCTTCTTAGCTTATAATATAAATGTTTTCATGTAGTTTTCTGGTGAATTGAACTGCTTTAATGATGTGTAAATAACTGCTTCTTAGGATATCTTGTTACTGGAGATATCCTTATTTTAAAGCTTTTGCTAAGTGGAATAGGATTGTTCAAAAGTAGATCGGATGAAAAGCCTTTTCAACATCTGCTGACCACATACATGTGACATAGTTATTCAACAGATAGATTCTAACGTTGGCTGCCTGGCTGTATGAAGACAAGCAATTTAGAATTCCACTTGTGACTGTGGTGGTACATGAAGGCTCCAATCTGATACTTAGGAATAGAATTCAATGTATAAGTCTCATTGAACTCAATTGGGCTTCTGAAGCAACATGTTTAGGATCTTACTGTAAGCCTATGTTCAAAGGAGCAGTTTTATACAAACTGTTCTATAAGTAAGTAACTCGTATTAGAGTGTTTCTGTCAGATTATTATTTTCTGCATTGAATAAAAGTTCTATAATTTTCCTCAATGTGTGTGGAGCAGCTTTGTCATGGAGGATTCCCCGTTTCAAGGGATGAGTGTATGGATGTTTGTTTTTAAATTTCAGCTGGGAATGGGAGGGGCAGGGGGCACTGCTTCTGACTACTTAGAATCAGCAGTATCTTGTATCAAGGGAAGTTGTAGTGCTTTTCTACATATTCACAGGTATTGTGATTACTGTATGAGTATAATTGTGCAAGTACCACAAGCATATGCTCATGCTTTTTATGGAACTTCACATCTTGTGATTTAGATGTTACAGCACCCATGTGAGCACTCTGAAAAGCACTTCCTTTTTGTGGAAACAGTAGCATTTTAATGAAACTGGTGCCCTAGTACTAACATTTGTACAATAGCATAGCAGTGCCTATTCCCTGCAAGGGAGTAAGAACGAAATAGGCCTTTAAGCCTTCCTTAAAGAGAGCAAATAATTGAAGTTATGCAGGGCTTTTAGAAGAAATAGAATTGGAAAATTTTCTAACGCCCCAAAGAATGATCTAATTTAGCATCCTTATTTTACATGTATTTTATCAGCAAAAGCTACAAAGTTTGAAACTGCTAAGCTTTCCTAAAATTTATTTGCAGTTGGCATCTATTCATTGTTGCTATTGAATATAAGAATCAGAAAATTTTCCGCAGAAAAGTAAAGGACTGGAAATAGTTTTCACTCCACGTCACAGAAAAAATGTATTCAGATAAGATAAAACTGCAAGTTTTCCCAAAATTTTTTTTATTGAGTTCTTCTCATTCTAAATAATAGTAGGATTTTAACTTTTTATTCTAATTAAACAGTACCTTTATTAAACTTTTGTACCCTTGTGTAAAGGAGATGTGAAAGAATCCTAATGGGAATAATGCATTTTACACTTGTTCTGAATGGGAGTATTAACCTATGGAATAATTTTCATCAATGTGTAAAATAAATCAGCGCCTTATATGTCTTATTCTTTGGGACCAATATGATAAAAACAGTTTGTACTTTCAGTAAGTCAGAGGGCACAAGAGTGCTCTTTTAGTTAAGGCTCTGTCATCATAAGCCTCAAAATTCTATTGCTCATAAAAATGACATCTTGATGTAATAACTTGAAACTTGAAATATAGGGAATACCTGGTGAAGTGTACAAATGTGCCAAGGTTAAAACAGATCCAACAAAAATTTCCAGAGGTACAGCAAGTTTAAAGGTGCTGCAAACTGACAACTTACTGTTTACTCCAATTTTCAAACAGGCATATCATTTCTTTCCAATTTTGGTGAAAACTGCTGACATTCAGAGCACTGAGGGAAGCACACTATTTCATTGGTTTGGTCAGGTTATTAAGCTTTTCCTGCTCCATTAAACCTATGGCAGCAACTGCTGGCCAAGTTACAGTGCATGCTGAGATTAATTCTGAAGTGATTCCCCCCACCAGACTTCAGTGTTTGCAAACGGAGTCGTCTAGTGGATGCTATGTGCAATGCCTTTTATTTGTGGAGTGTGGCAAGGTGGTGCAGTGGTTAGACTGTAGTACACAAGGGAGAGACCTCCTGGCTTGCTGGAGCTGCTGGACATGTTCATGATTTTTCCCGGTTTTTAGCATATAACTGCAGGGATGGTGACTCTGGCACTGTATCTCTCTGAGATGCATGCCATGCCATTCATTGTGGGTTAAACCACAGAGCCTAGGGCTTGCCAATCAGAAGGTGGGCAGTTCAAATTCCCACGACGGGGTGAGCTCCTGTTGCTCGGTCCCTGCTCCTGCCCACCTAGTAGTTTGAAAGCACGTCAAAGTGCAAGTAGATAAATAGGTACCGCTCCGGCGGGAAGGTCAGCGGCATTTCCGTGCGCTGCTCTGGTTCGCCAGAAGCAGCTTAGTCATGCTGGCCACATGACTTGGAAGCTGTACGCCGGCTCCCTCGGCCAGTAAAGTGAGATGAGCGCCGCAACCTGAGTCGTCTGCGATTGGACCTAACGGTCAGGGGTCTCTTTACCTTTAGAGCAGAATGAAGGCAGAAAGGGCAGCACAAAGTTTCAGGTCTCCAGGTTTGCTTTCCAGGTGGTGAGAGAAGGAGGTGGAGGGATCATTGCCTTACACCGCCTTTCTGCAATGTAAGGGCTCTCATTCCCACCCTATGTTTATGTTGGGGTAGGACAAGAAAGTATGGATTGGGGGCCTCATGCTGCCTTTCTGAAGGCATAAATGCAGTAAGTGCGCCCTGTTCACTGTTTCCTTCCATTGTGGTGGGGAAAACACGTGAAGGTCTTACACTTGGGCCTTACACTGTCAAGCTCTGATGCTCCATAAGGTGATACAGGACGAGGACAATGTGGAGCATCTTTGCTGGTCTCAGGCACTTGTACCTTCCCCATCTGGATTTGGGCCAGAAAGACCAATAAGTGGTTTGTGCATGGAGACTAAGTTGTAAGCAAGCAAGCACAGTTCTTGACATTGCTCATCATCATTGATGATGATGGAGCAAGTCTGTTAAAGCATTGGCTTTAGCTTCTGATTTACCAGCTTTTGGGGGCTTGGCCAGTGTCAGATACACTCAACTCTGCGTTTAAACTGACATATTTTTGAATGACATTAGGGCCTGTATCCTATGCTGTTCAGAAGAGCTTCACCTTTCTCTCGACTTGTCTATACCGCTCTGTGTGCCCCCCAGATTTTTGGGAGGGAGAAGTCTTGTTGAGCAAGCAGATGCCACAACATTGCACATTGGATTCTACCCTGCATCTTTTGCTTTAGTAATTGCTTTGGGTTTGTGCTACGGGGTACCGAACAGTAATGTGCTATTCAGCAGAGGACTGCAGCTTTAGAAATTTCATTTTCTTTAAAATGGAAATGGCATTTGACTATTCAGACTTGAGTTCTTCTTATTTTTGTGTCATTCCCTACATTACCTTTGCACTACAATGTAAATAAGCAGTGTTGTAATTTTAATCACAGGATTTTATTGTACTGCTTGTTTTTTACACATGAGCTTGCAGTAATTCATATGGTAATAAAATTGTCTTGGGGGTGAGTGAGTTGGAGGGCTGCTTTTAACTCACCCAAGCTTGACTAGGTGGGGCTCCCAGTAGTTGCCTTGCATACTGTGAACATACTTCTGGTACATACTGTTTTTGAAAGCTGGAGTCATAAATTAAGTGTTCTTATTTTTTAAAAAGGCGTTATGCGACTTGGACTTTGATTCGCATTGCAGCATTAAGTAAAAGGTTTGCTAATTAGACAGTTAACTTAAGTTGCTTATAGGGTTGGTGCTGAATTAATTGTTTCTGCAGTTAATGTTGAGTTTGACTGCAGTTAATTTGTGGTTTACTTTCTGTAATTACTGTAAAGAAAAAGAAAAAGATTTAAAAACCAATATTTAAGCCTATATGTAACTGAAACTATGATATGAGTAGCTGCTTCTGTCATGAGAGTTATTTATTTTATTTCTGCCTAAGAAATATTTTATTTCTAAGACTTTAGGAGGATATTTTATTTATTTATTTATTTTATTTCTAAGACTTTAGGAGGATAACTACAGCACTATTTTAAAATGTGACTATTTCAAGTCTCCAAATGATTTGAGTTTTAAGTTTATGAGAAGATATGGATGGAAGACCTGGAGGAATCAAGCAAGATAGTATTCAAATTATAGCAGTGATCCAAAGCATTGTGGGAAGTGTGGTGTGCCCCCCCCACTTTTTAAATTGATAGACATGCATGCACTAAGGGAGGAATTACTCTTGTTGACTTGGGGGAAAGTGTGATGTCTTCTTCATCTCCTCCTTGTTCATATAAAGGGCAGCATGGCAACAGTGGCTAGATTCCTACTCAGTCCTAAAACTTGCTGAATGACCCTGGATAATGCTGAACTAGTCCACTATCTTTCAGCTTAATATACCTTTCAGAGCTGTTGGATAAAATAGGGGGCAATATATATGCTGCCTAGAGCTCCTTGGAGGAAAGGAAGGACATAAATTTAATAAGTTTTTTTAAAACAAAATGAGTTAATGTTTTTCTTTTATTAAAATAGAGTCTTGATTTCATACATTGAGAGTGCTACTGTAGAAAGCGCTCCAGATGGATTTTGTCATATTGACTGTACTGGCTCTCATTCTAAGTGGCTTTGGCAAACTATTATGTGTTAAAAGATCTGTTAAGGTAACACTTTTCTCCTTTCACCAAATTTCCTGTTCTTCTCTTCCCCCTTAAAAAAATATCCATGGATGCTAAAACTGCTTATTTCAAAAACTAAAAATCCTAGGAGGTGGAGACAGAAGCACTCCTAAAATATTTTTAAATTTTATCTAATGGGATTTGAGTTACTTGGCAGTGCAGATATTTTGAGAAGTTAGAAGTGAACTACTTTCATCCCAATCAGAAGAAATATAGGTGCCTATTTATGAGTGTGGAAAAAGTCATGGAGATGTTAGATTCGCCCCCAGTGATTGCTATACAGGTGGTTGGATTCATGTATGTGTAGGTATTACCTTCTGTGTTGGCCTAGAGTCTAAATTAGAGAAGAGTTCTAATAGAGTGGCAGCTTTGGGGAAATGCAAAAACCTCATATGCTTGCCCTAGAGCATAAAAAGCACATTTTCAATTCTGGTGTCCTCTCTGTGGAATCAACCCTGCTCCGCCCCTGTATTAAGGCAAGCAATAACACTTAAATCACTTCTGTCCTTGCCAAAAACTCACTTATTTTTTCAAGCCTTTGCTGGCCATTTAATACCAGTTTGTTAATGTCATGTCTGCCCTGGCCAATTGGCTGCTTTTTTGGTATATATATATATTTTAACTGTTCATTGCCTTGTGATTTCAAATGAAAGGTTGTATATAGAATACACGAACACAAACGGATGTTGACACTATGTGTTTGTCTCTATTCCTGCCTTTTATTATATGAAATGAAAATAATAGAATACATAAATGTTGTTTCAGACAGTAAAATCACAATTTAAGATGGCAGCAAATGCTATCATACATACCTTGATCTAAAGAATGGAAGAATCCCTACCTACTCTCAAAAGCCTACAGAAGTGAGTGTAACAATTTTGCCAGCAGGACTCACACTAATTTAAGAAATGGAGATGCAGGGAGAAAGCATATACCTGTCTTTATGTGTGCCTGTTTGTTCCCTGTGAGCGATGAATGAAGGTCCTTGTTGGAGCTAGGAGTGCCACTTCCTTTATACTCAAATTTTAGGCTTCCTTTCTACTCGTTTGGTCAAGTCATGCCAATGGAGAGGGGAAGTGGAGACCTTGTGATAAGCAGCTAGTTTATCTCAGAATTTCCTGCCTGCTTTTCACCTCACCCATCTTGCAAATTAAGTGTTTGAATGAAAGTCATCCTAGTGGGCTGTGGCTGGACTGGCTATCTTGTGTCTTCTCTCTGCCTGACCATTACCTAGATGGGCCTCCATTTGCAAAACAAGAAATATCCTTCAACAAATAAGAACTTTCCATGTGCATACAAAGACTTAAGTTTGGAAATAAGTTGTGTGATGAAGAGGTTTTGTGCGCCTCCTTGCGAGTTTTCACACCAGTGTACTTGCCTATGTAGGAGACACTAATTCTCAGTTAGACGTTCAAGAAAAATCCTGCAATCTTTTAAAGTTGAAATGTTCCAGGATATTGTTCTGAGAACTCAAGATAGACCAATGAAGAAAAGGAGTGGAGCTGAAATTAAATTATTTAAATAGATAAGCAGATGTGTTAGGAATTCAAATAGATAAGACTATGTGTGGTAGAAAGGAAAGAGACAGGACCTTAGTTTTTAACTATGTAAGAATGTTATTTTTGCAATTGGCCTGGCTGTTTAAAGGCACAATTACATAAATCCTAATAAGTGAATTTATATTTTGTGAATATGTTATGTTTTAAGAAACATTGTGTATAGGGTGGAGTGGGACTGGAAACATGAAGGCCATGAAACCATTGTTCATTTTTGACATCTGGAATTCCTGATAAATTCTTTAAAATTAGGTTTTTTCCCTATTTAATGTTACTCCTTAAGACATGGTTGAAGACCCAAGCTAAATTCCTTTTAAATACATTTTTTTATCTCACTTGACATAAATTAGAATAATTCCCACAAAATTGTAGTTCATGAAAGAGCATTTAGCCTAATTTATGTCCAAAGTGCTTCATATTTTGCCTGTCGCTGCTTTCAGCATATGCTCAATATGCTGTGCAGTTCTGAGTCACTATTTTTACAATACTGTATTTAAAGTTATTTTTTTTCCTTCTATGGAAGCTTCTGTTGGAGACAATTAATTGAGTTGCTTTGGGGAACTGTACTCCCAAACCATCAAATAGTAGATTATTGTCTCTGCACAAGAAAATCTGTTTCTAGTAAAAAATGATGTAATGAAAATATTAATATGGGCATGCTTAGGTTTCTGTGGGCTCCTAAAACCTGTAAGACCTCACACTGGTTTGTCAGAAGCTTTCCTTAAATTAGTAAACGTTTGTGCCATTTACTTAAGCACATCTTTGTATGTTTGAGAAAAGCTAAAGTAAACCTGGTTTGTAACCTAAATTGAAGCACTGCTGCTGAAACCAGTATTTCTGGAAAAGACAGGAAATGTACTGGAAAATACTCTGGGGTGTGGGAGCTTTGATCCTGGGTTCCTCTTGTGTCAGATAGAAACTATTGCACCATATTTGAGTGCTTCATCTCTCCTGTCATCTTAGAAATGGACTTGCTTGGGAGTGGTTCTCTTCTTTCTTCCATATGCAGCCCAGATACCTATTAAGTCTTGAATAGTTCAGTGTAAATAGGCTTTGGAGGGGTAGGAGCTGAACTTCCTTAAGGCCTTATTCACATGTTGTTTTATAGGGTCCTCAAAACAGTAGTTATTATGATTATAACTGTCGTTAACATCAGTCTCTCTGAAGTTTCCATCAATTTCTCTAGGTTTAAGATGCTTTTGCAGGGACCACTTTTATCCTTCACTGAGTTGTTAAACTCTTGTGTTTTAATATTGATCCTTCTGGGCTTTTGTTCTTACACCGGTAAAGAAGTATCAATTAAAAGAACTGTTCTCATACAACTTTCTGTCCTGGTGTGCACTCTTCTTAGACTAGTAAGAAAGAAGGATAGGTGTAGTTTAGGAGCCAAGAACTAATGTACCCATCTTTTTTTGTCTACTGCTGTGGCTGATAGACTGCCAATGCCCATTTTGTGTTTCTGCTTCTTTCATATCTACTTTCTCCATACATACTGATCCCCATGCTGGAAAAGGGCAATAAGGCAGACTATCTATCCTACTGGGTTGTAGCAAAACTCCATGGATGTTGGAGACAGGGTGAGAGAGTTGGCTTTGGTCTCTTACTATCAGCAGTGTTGCTTGCTGTCACTCTGTAGTAAGAAGGAGAAGTTTCTAATTTCAGAACCCAACATTTTTGCTATGTCCTGGCCGAAGGGAATCCTGCACACAGATCCTCCTCTCCCATTCTGGTATCTACCTTCATCGGGAACTGAAGTAAATATCATAAATAGTGTGTTATAGTGCTATATTTCAAACTGTTTGAATTCCTCCATGTGGATAAGGCAGAACATCACGTGCATACTTTCCGGTTACAACCTCTTTAACTGGTTCTTCACAGTACAGTAGGTCCACATCTTACGCTTCTTTTTCTTACATAATCACAGCTTTAGATGAATCACAAATAAATACATAGTAAAGAGGAGGGAGACCTTAGCTTATCGGGCTCTGGAGGCTCTCGCAAGATATTGCGGGGCCATCTGAAGGGTTTTCATTCACAGAAACAGCTTTCTAAGCCATGCGCCTTGCCTACGGGGCTCTCAAGTGGTAGTACAAGGCCCTTGTGGGGCCGTCCGAGACGTTGTGAGATCTCAAATGGCCGGGACAGTTCCTGGGTTCATTCTGACTTTGCATGCTTTTGCCTTTGTGGACTCCCGGACATAACCCCAGTGCTCTCCAGGTGTTGTTGGACTGAAGCGCCTGTTAGCTCCATCCAGCATGGTCCAGTGGGTTAAGGATGGTGGGAGATACAAGGTCCAACAACATCTGGGTCCCCCCACGATGGGGTGGTTGGTCTGCAGGTTCAACTTGCAAGTCTTCTAAGCACCCTTGCAGCTGTATTATGAGGAAGTCACTGTGGGCACTTCCTGGCTGTATGTTTATGCATGGAATGTGGCAGAGGATAAGGATTGTGGAACGCATTCTGCATCTTGGGTTACCAGAGACCTAATGGTAATGAAACAAACTGGATGACAAGTAGAGTGCAGGATGTAGAAGATGTGCTGCAAAACTGACTGAACATGAGTGAGAACACAGAGCCGTGCCTACTGCATAACAGTGAAGATGGTGAAGAACACCCACTTTTCTGCCTTCTTTGCATCCTCAGTGGAATTTTGTTTTGTTTTGTACTCTTTGGGGTCTGCTTATTTCTGATCCAGGCAGTGGAATTCTAGATCCTGTGGGATCCTGCTGTTATTTGTTTGCAAGACAATTTGAGGACTGCCCTTGAGGCTGACCCAGAAGCTGCAGTTATTGCAAAATGTGATGGCTCGACTGCTCATTGGAGTGGAATATCATCATCATATTACGCTACTGCTGAAAGAATTGCACTGGCTGTCATTTAGCTACCAGGCTACTCAAGGTGGCAACATTGGTGTACAAAGCCCTGTACAGCCTGGTACCAGAATATCTAAAAGATTATTTCATCCCCTACATACTCAACCTATCACTGTGTTCTGCAGGATAGGGCATCCTTCAGATATCATCCTTATCAAGAGGTCCATTCTGCACAATGTCTGAATCAGGCTTTTAGTGTGGGCACACCTACCTTCCCATTCTATATCAGACAGGTGATATGTCTCTTTGGTGCCTGCTAAATACATTCCTCTTTCAAGAAAGCTTAAAAAACACCCCAGTTGGCATCTCTCTTGGATTTGAATTGATTTTATGTATGTGCTATTTCTAGTTCAATCTGTTTTGAATATGTTATACTGCCCTGCAAATTGCTGCTGAATGCCTCATGGGAAATGAGTAAAAAAATGAAATAATAAGGATTTGGCTCTATGACATTGTCAGTGTGGTTTCCCTTTATGCCTGGATAATGTGTAAAATGATCCATTATAAGAAAACTTTTTTTTTAAAGCCAAACACAACAAAATAAGAATGTGTCATGTGCAAGAGAGTAAAGGATTAAGATGTGTGCTCTGATACAAGGGTTTGTCAGCATTAAGAGAAGAACTGCTTATTAAAATCTGCTGAAGGGCAGTACCACAGAAGTATTGAAGTAATTGCTCCTGCTAATGACTAAAATGAAAAGGAGAATAAATTTCTTCCTTGAGGATGTTTCATTTTGGGGGAGAGTTAAATATTTTTCCTACTGTGAACAAGAGCAGACATAACTTCTTTGCAACCTTCAGCCCACCTTTCCCTCCAGGGCCACGAAGCATTTCATTCCTCTACCATTTGCTTTGGTTGTGTCAGTCAAGATACTGAACGCCCAAGATTTGTGTTAGGGCTTCTGTGCTATATCTATTTCATGACAACCACAATACCAGCTAGATTATTAAAAGTTCTGGTTACCGATATCATTAACTTTTTCTTTTGAATTGTGCACCTGGTGCTGTCTTCTCATCACATCGAAACCAAGGGAGGTGTATAACAGAACTGCCTTATTTCAAGAGAATGCCGTGAAACGTCTGAGTCGAGTTCCAGTCAGTAATAGAAGGATGCATTGTCATTTTCCAGAATACTTAAGTCCATAGAGACAAATCAAAAGAAAACTGAAAGTTTAATTTGTACAACTAGGACAGTAAGGGAGGAAGCTGAAGCATTGGAAGTTGGTGCATGCAAGCTATTGATATATATTTCTATCTGTCATGGCAGGAAGAATGAAAGCTGTCAAATAGAGTGGTATCACATACAGCACTGGTGTCCAAATTTTTTTCAAAGAGGGCCAGATTTGATGAAGTGAAGGGCCATGAGGGCCGACCAAGGGGCCAACCTTTTTTTAGGATTGAAGTTGTTGAGGGTTTTTAAAGGATTTTACCCCAGGAGAAAAACTGCAACAGGGGCTGGATTAAACCGACTGGCAGGCCAGATTAGGCCTCCAAAATGGACTTTGGACATGCCTGACATACAGGGACTATATCTCCAGATGGCATAGAATCCCTGCCGTGAAACAATGGTGCTGGACTGCTGTTTACATCTTATGGAAGCTAGGAGTGAATCGCTTATTCGGATTGCCCTAGAAAGCATCCTAAATGCATTTGAAAGCATGGCAATTGGCACAGATGGTCAGATGCAATCTAAAAAAAGTCACCACTTTTTTTGGCATAAGGCGGAATAGCAAAGCAGAATAGTTGACTACAGTACGTGGAAGTTCCTTGTGTTTACACCTACAGAGACTACAATAAAGCTGAAGCGTAAATAATGCTAACCTCGGTTTGCTTCTGTTTATGGAGGAAGCTGTGTAACCTTGCTGAATTTCTTATTCTACACTTTATAAACCTGGAGATGATCTCCATTCATGTTCTGTTTTTCAAGCTTCATGAGTAAAATCCTCCCTAATTAAAATTACTGCTTTTGAAGGCTGACTTGGCATGATTCAGAATGGTGAGGTTTGTCCCTGTGCAATCCCTGCCTCTTTAAAGCACTCTCAATCTTATCTATACAAAACCTTACAGGGAAAAATGCAGACGTAATTTAAAAAATAAAATTATTATACTGCATTTATATAGCTGCCCCTTAACAGTTTTGCTCTTCATGAGTTTGTTCATTTTTGTAGGTCTTGTACTGAATACATTTTCTTATTGTGTACTCTGGGGGGCGGCGGGGGGGAATCATCTTGTTGTTAAAACATATATACCCGAATGGTATGGAGAAATTGCACATATGCAACGTTCTGGCCTGTCATTTTTTTGATTGAGGGGCATTGTTTTTCAAAATCTTTTTCCTGCAGAAGCCCTCTTCTAATCCTACAAGTGCCCTGCCCTTTTCATTTCATGCCTCCGCATGTTGACAAGGGAGTAACAAATAGTTTATACCACTGAAATTACATTTGGCTAAGATTTCTTTTAGGCAAAAATTTTGCAGCACAAAATATTTCTCATGCAAAATGCAGCACTGGAAGAAAAAGTGAACCCTGACACAACTCAAGGGACAAGTGCTGACTCACTCTTTCTCTTCTCTCTCTCTCTGTTACCACTGAAGTTCATGCGTTCAAAGTCCAGTGGGGTTTACTGATCCGTAGAGCATAAACAGAAGGTGGAAAGCAGTCAGTAAAGCACATCCTTAACCTGTAAGTCTTTAACTTTGTTTCGCAAGGAGTGCATCAGTTTTTTATACTACTGGCCTCAGTACGTATTTGCATTGGTGCTTTTCCAATAATACTGCTGTGCCGGTTCCACCTATGTTTATAAATAGTTACTGTAGGGAATGACTAGATAAAGCAGGTGTTCTGTTCCTGCATTTCAGATACTTGTGGTTGATTGAAATATGTATGCTAGTTATTGGCCAGAAAGTCTGTAGCTGCAGGCACTGATGGAGACTGGCATGGGATGTGTGTTCCAGAAGCTGATTGTTTCATTGTATGTGATGAGAGGTGGTTTTGAGACTTCATGACCAAGTTGTACCTTGGAAGTCAAATGGAATCCATTCCAGAAGTCCGTTCGACTTCCAAAACATTCGGAAACCAAAGCTTCTGATTGGCTGCAAGATGCTTTTAGCTGCTTGGAAGCAGGTGAACTAGCAAGGTTTGTGGGGGTTTTTTGGCAGTGTTGTTGTTTTTGTTGTTAGAATTAATATACCACCCTATACCCGGAGGTCTTAGGGCCAGTTGACAGAAGAGAGATAATTTCCCATTGGAAAGACTCCAAAGGACTCTGGTTATTTCATGGTCGGATTGCTAGCTCCTGAAAGCACAAAATCTTGCTAATTCTATGTTCCACTTGCTTACATTAGTTAAACTGGTCACTTTACCAGGCAGACAGAACATTCAACAATATCAAGTGGAATACTTTAAGAGGTGGAGAGGTGCCCCACTTAATGTCCCTTCTCCCCCCTAAAAAGTTGTGACATGGCACTTTTCTGGTTGTCTTACACTTTAATAGGAAAATACTGGAATATATATGCAGAATACACACACACACACACACACACACACACACACAGAGGGAATATATCAATATATATTTTGAGATGAATTTTTAAAATCTGCACTTTGAGTCTACATTGGCTTACAAGGTGTTTTGTGTGTGTTTGTTCTGCTGCCCCACCCCCCATATAGCCTACTTGGCACTGAAATCAAAGCCAAGAAAACGTATTGTCACTGCACCTAGAGCAATTGCTGTACTATATGCTTCACCAACACAGATTTCTTCTTTTCAGTTTCAGTGAAATATGTTCGCTGCTTTTTGCAACCACGTACCAGGGAACAAAAAGCAGGCATATAGGGTCTGTTATGGATGGGACAGTTATGTGATTTGTAGCGTTTTCTCTTCAAAACATTTGCAAGTAGGAGCTGGAATATCTCAGTTGTCACTCTATTTTGAACAGAATAGTTTCATGTATAGGATCTCTGACAGAGGTTTCCTCTGACTTCTATTTAAGATCTTTTAGTTGGTAATGTTAAAGACTGATTCTGAAACCCCTTGGATGCCAAGCATAAGATTTTGTCACAGAGGATTACATGTGCTTGTCCTTCATAACAAGCTGCAGTAAGTTTGTGTGTCAACAAGGTGCAAAATGTATTGTTCAAAATGGGCCTTTGGTGAAAGCCAGACTCTGGGTGTTTTCCTCAGAGGTCTGCCCTTTGCTTCTCTGTAGTGAGCTTCCAAGCGCTAGAAAGTATTCTAAAATGCATTTAATGGGTTCTGAACCAAGTTATTTCCAAGTATACTTTTCAGCTGATTGGGATAACTACTGATGTTACTTTTTCTCATGGCTAATTCTTCTGTGCTTGGGGAAAGCACATTATTAATGAAGTGTTGGTAAGATAGACCTCTTGAGAACCCAGTCAGATGCATTTGATGCTAAAGTCAGTTTAATGTATACATACTTTTTAATGAAGAGTTAACTCCTTTCAATACAGGGATATACCTATACAAAGAAGTCCAATAGAATCTGCAGTGACCGCAGCGTAAAAATAAAATAAAAATCCTACCAAACATCAGAGGTCATCCTATGGGCCATCTATATTCCAAAAATGCAGAAACTGTATAAGGACAGCTATAATATTGCAAAGGCAGTGTTAAACTTTTATCTGTTAATTTTTTTCTCATGCTTCTTTTGAGTTATGAAATCAGAATCATAAATTAGTTAAATAAGCAAATAAGAAATGGTCACACTGTAAATTAAGCGGGAAAACACTCACAAATGGTTGATGAATTGAGCAGGTTAGAATACCACAAAATAATTTATGTTATCTATTTCTTCTTTTGATCTGAAATGGATTAAAATTCTGATTTCCCCCAGGAGCCAGTTCTTCAACATTTTTAAAGTAGTTGTGTTGACACTCCTTAAGCACTTGTATGAGAAAATAAATTGATCCTTATATAGTACACGTTGTCTGCTTCCTCCCCCCCCCCCAATAAATTTAGTCTCAAACGATTGTTATTGAAGATTGCATTTGCATCGGGTACCTGATGCTGTTTTCCTGCTTAGCATATGCCTTTAGCTCCGCAACAACCACAATATGGAGTAGGCCTTATTTGCATTTTGGCCCTGCTTCATTCAAAACTCCTTTACCCTGTGTTGTGCTTTACATATTCTGCACCAACACACGTAACAAAATAGTGAATGTAAAGAGGTCAAGTGCTGCATTTTGTAGCTACTTCGTACCTTTGCTGATATAAAATGAAACGTGCTAGCCTAAGGGCCAGCCTTAACATTAGTCATAGTGAGGCAATTACCAGTGTGCACAAAAATACAGGATCAATCACCTGAACTCCTTGGCTATTCGCTTCTGTTAAAGATCAGAACTATGTGTGCCACGAGCTTGTCATGCACTCTCTAAGCTAGCCTGCTTCCCTTGGGTACACTGAAGGATGCTGTCCCATTGCCAGTGTTGAATCAAGATTCAGCTGCCAGCCCAGTCAGCTTCTGTCCATGGAATGGAAGGGGCAGCTTCGTTCTTTGCCTCAGGCAACCAAATGTTTTAGGCCAGCCCTGTGCAGCCAGACTGTTCTACTGCATGTAGTAATGAACTTAAGTGGGATAACATTTCTTAAGAAATAAAGGTATAATGCTAAATACATTTTCAAGTGACCTTGGTTCTCTTTTATTTCTGTTGAAAGAGTTTTGTGGTACCTTAAAACTAACAATTCTTTCCCCTGGTGTAAGCATTCATGGATTAGGGTCAATTTCATCAGACAAATATTTTGTTTGCTGCTGCAGACAAATAGAGCAGCCTCTCTGGTAAATAAATACAGTACTTTACCAACTTTCACTAGCGTATGTTTTTTCTTTGTTGTGTTAGCTAAAACTTGCTGCGGGCTCTGACAGTTCCGTTTCCTCTTTCCCTTTAGCGATCAAACTTGGTACAAAAACAACTGCTATCAGTGGAGATGCTTGATTCTTAACTGTCAGTTTTACTGTTGTTTGTTACAACTTACTTAAAAATAATCTATGTAGTGCTTGGTTGTAAGGGAACCTTAAAGTGGTTTACACAAAATACAAAATGAAACATTAAAATTATCAATAGACATTCAAAAGATGATTAAAATCAATAGTAACTGAAAAGAAATAAAACACATGAAACTTATAAATGTCTTCGATTTAAGCAAGGGCCAAAAAAAGAAAAGGAAAATACTGCAAAGGGGCTGCTTTCTGGGTGGAATGGGAGGAAACTGGTGGAAAAGCACTGTTAGGCCGATTTGTTCATTAGTTAGGGAGCTGTTTCCTAATAGGCTCGAGTAATGTGAGCTCTGATTATCTGTAAGAGGAGCCATTTGGTGTGGGACCAGACAGTGGAGAAGAAGCTTCCATGCCATCCTGGTAATGCATGATACAGCTGTTCTTCCTTTACTCACCAGATAGAGAGTGGAAGTTGGCACTCTGTTGACTGTGCAGTGCAAATGGATGGGTGTGCATCTTACCTTGTGTAGATGGCTTTTTCTCAGGTAACCCCATCTTTTTGCCCCCTTTTTCTTCCTCAAGGTTCTTTCTTTAGAGACATCAGCATTGCCCTGATCCTCTGTTTCTGCTCTTGTTTCTAGGCAGCATGCTGATGGACCATCTGTTTTTTGTTTGAGAACTATTCTCCCCCCCTTGTATGACAGCTGTGGCTTTATGGTTAGACTGGCTTTTAGATATCTCACATTAAAGTAGATAACATATCTATTTTAGATACCAACATGGACCTTGGGTAATTAAAGAATATTGATTTGAATTACAAATAATTGGCAAGAAGGAGTGGGAAAGAATTGCATTATCACCTGTCTCACCTATGTGATCAGCTATGAAATATTGTGTTTTGATTCGACTTTAAAATTAAGGTTAAAGTTCTTGTTTAACCTACCCTATTGTTGTTGTTGTTGGCATCTGTCTCGAGAGACTATGGCTCACTCCTTCGGGGTGGGAAGTCAAAACTCTGGAGAATCACAGCGGCTGTTGTGACTGCAGAGACTCATAACTTGTAACTGGTGTGACTCACGTTATTTTTGCTGTATTAGCAGCACTGAAGTGACCCCTTTGGGCCGCAAGCCTTGACAGTGTGTATGGAGGTCTGGGGCTGCCCAGACAACAAGACGCCCCCCAGCCTTGCTAATGTCCAAAAGAAAGCAGAGCAATACATTTGGCACCAGCTTGGCAACTATTGAAAAGGCCAACCCTGGAACCAGTGGATTGTAACAACTATCACCCAGTTGCAAATACATCCTTCCTGAGGAAGGGATTGAAAGAGTTGTGGCAGAACAACTGCAGACATACCTGCATGAGACTGCCTGTCTGGATCCATGCCAGTTTGGGTTCAGGCCTGGGTTTGGGATCAAATCTGCTTCGGTCACTCTGATGGATGACCTTTATAGAGAGAAGGACAGTGGGAGTGCAATCCTGCTCCTTCTGCTCAATCTCTCAACTGTCTTTGATACCATGGTTGAAAACGGTATCCTTTTGGACTGACTCTGTGGGGTGGATATTGGTCTCACGGTGCTACGTTGGTTCCATTGCTAGCTGAAGGATCATGAACAAAGTGTAGCATTGGGATACAGCTCTTCGGCCCCTTGATGTTTGCGCTCTGAGGTGTCGCAGGGCACTATTTTGTCCCCAATGCTATTCAACATCTGTATGAAGTCATTGGGAGCAGCCATGAGGAGCTTTGGAGCCAGGTATCAGCAGTATGCTGATGATACCCAACTCTACTTATCCATTTCATCTGAATCAGGGGAGGCTGGATTACTGTAACACACTTTTTGTGGGATTTCCCTTGTATCTGGTCCATAGACTGCAACTAGTACAGAATGCATTAGCCAGGCTCCTCACAGGAGCAAATTACAGACAACATGTTACTCTAGTGCTGAGAGAACTGCACTGGTTGCCAATTTGCTATCAAACCAATTCCAAGGCTCCTTTGTGAATTCGCAAAGCCCTGAACAACTTAGGCATAAAGTACCACCTGATCTCTTGTACTCCACCTCAGTCACGGAGATCTTCTGGGGCTTTTCCATGACCTGGAAGTTTAGTTGGCCTTCATTAGGAACCAATCCTAATGTGGCAGATCCTTTTTCGACAGGTTTTCACAATATGATTTTTTTCTTTTTAACCAACAGTATCTGTTGCATTTTCATCGATGTTTTTAATATGTTCATTGACTGTTATTTTTTGTATTTTATGTTGTAAGCTGCCTTCATATATTTTATGAGTAGTCATAGTCAAAATTCAGCACGTTCCCTTCTAAACCAGAATTTGCAAACCCACTAAACAGTAGTTTCACATTTTTGTTAAGAAGCGAGTCTGGATGCTATTAATAATTTTTAGCATTGGTGCAGGTGTAAGATTAAACTATAGTTGAATTGGACAAGAGGAGGAATTTCATGTTCCTGAGCATGATTTCTAACTCACAAACCCAAGTCTGCAGGAGCTAGCACTATTTCTGCACTAGGCCTGAAGCAAAAAGTTGCATCAGAACCTGACCTTCACATTTATCTAACGGAAATTTCCATCACATATGTATGTATTACATTCTGACTTTTTTTGTCATTGATAAGGTTTTCCTTTCTTTCTTTATTGCTGCTGTGTTCCTCCAGGAACCATTAGCTACCGGTAAGTATTTCAATTAAATCAGATTTTACAAAGTTTTGCCTAGTGAGGACATTAGACCCTCGCTGACTTCAGTGAAAACTTTGTATCCGATGGACACGTCTGTTACCTTGAGTGCTTTCTCAGATAGTTGCTATTACCCAGTTGAAGAAATTGTTGGAAGTAAGAATAATCAGGACACTGTAGTCTGTGTTTGGACTTCATGGTAGACCTTGGTTTATTGTGAAGGGAACAAGCAACCCTGAGCTTTGGGCTTGCATGCTCCCCATCCCCTCTCCTCCTTCAGTTCATCTTGGTGTCTATTAGGAGAAGAGATTGGAAGCTTTTGATTCCATTTTTGATTAACTTCAGTTGTGTGTGTGTGTGTGTGTGTGTGTGTGTGTGTGTATATATATATATATATATATATATATATATATATATATATCTGGAAACAGTACAAACAGTATTGTGAGCAGCTTAAATTATGCAAACTGTAGCTGAAGCTGTGGCAGAAATGGAAGGCTGTGCTATTTGTGTCAAGCTTTTCATAGTGAAAGGGGATGTCCTGCTTGATTCTCAGTAACAGTTTTCAAAGTACTTTTTAAACTATTTGTAGGGTGCTGAGGGTTCCCAAGCAGTGTTCACAACAAGTGTGTTGTCCCTGTGGGATAGCAAAGCCAGTAACAGTGCATCCTAACTCATCTTTCTTTACCCCATATGCAGTGCAAAAGAAGCCAGTCTAGGCTATTGATAGAAAATACTTGGCAAGCAAAGAGAGATAAAAATAGTAATTAATCCCTGAAGTCTCAAGCATCTCCATGTGTATAGTGTGTTTGTATGCTTTTCTCCTTTAGCATCCAACTGAAGGAAGTGATTTATTGTGTATTTTTAATCCCTGTGGCACTTTGGTGAATACTGGTGGCATGTTATGTGGTGAAGGCTGCAGTTACTTGTGTTTGAAATTGCACAAATGGCTTTACTTTCTCAATTAAACTCAACATCTTGTATTTTATTCTGTGAACCACCCTGAGATCTGACGAGGGGTGGTATATAAATTTAATAAATAAGAATGAAATAAGAATACTAACATAAACCTACTGAGTGCCTGATCATCGCCATTAAACTTATTACATTCTTTTTTGTATTGCCACTTAATAAGCTTCTGGGTAAAGAGAGCAAATGGAGGTTATTAGGACGATCTGAAAACAAGATGTAGCCCATCTGCTGAGAAGGCCTGCACTTATATAATGCAAAACCATGGTTTGTTCAAGCCATAGTTTAACAAACCACAAGTTAACCATGAGTCAAACAATGACTTTTCCCTCCATTTGCTTTATAGCTGCTCTTGCCAGATGCCGTTATGGCTTGATGAACATTTGGGCTGGGATAGGCAACTGTCAGATGGCTGTTGCGGTTGCTCGAGAGTAATCAGCCAGGACTCCAACCTGTCTTTTACAGGCTTTATTTTGGTGCAAACTATTTACAGTGAAGAGCCCCAAAGCTCATGTCTGGCTCAATCGCTAGCAGAATCCGGGAGTGGTCATCTTTTGGACCTCCCCCAACATAAGAGTTTCATTACCGCCAGCCTTCTCCTTCCCTCTTTGCGACTTAGACTACTGCGTAGGATGGGCGATGGCAAGGGCGTGTTTCCCTCCTGTCCGGCTTGCCCAGGAGTGGTGTTAAGGCTCCCACCAGCATCCTCTGGTCCTTGCACCTCTTCCCCACCGGAGGTGGGGCTTTCCTCCTCCCTGGAAGAGGAACTGCTTCGCAAGATTTTCGGAGGCTCCCTGTAACACAACTGCCCTTCTATTTCTTGCCTCTGAGCCGATGGCAGTTCCCTGACAGCAATTAACAGTGGTTAAGGAAGAATGCTGTGTTAACTTGGCTTGTAAAACAGCAAACGGTGGCTCCAGAAAATGGTTTGTTGGCAATAAGCAAACTTTAGTTAAGCTGCTGTGCTCGGCTTGCATATAATGCTAAGCCACAGTATGGTTTAGTGTCTTAGTGTTTTTGTGAAAACCAGGCCATTCTTGCAAGTTTTCAGTTGTGTAAGTAGGAAGAACCACCTTTATAAACCACTTGGAGGTTTTATTCACAGTTAAGCAGTATACAGATTTTGTTAAATTAAAATAAAATGCTGCAATACATTCCTCAAAACTAGCTGTGACACTCTGCTCTCATCAGCTGTGTTCTGAACCAAATGAACCTTTGAAAACCAAGGGGTGAAATTTGAAGCTGAGTTTTTGAAGCAGCTAATGGGTCTGTTTGTGTGTGCGTGCACATGCCTGATCTCACTTTAACCATCTTCTGGTTTTTGGGTGAGCAGGATACACTGCTCTATATACCCCTCTTCTTCTTCTTTTCTCTATAAGGGTTTAAACCTTCTCTTTTTAAATGAAAACTAAATTATCTAAATCGCCTGTGTAACTTTATCTAGAAGGCTTTTGTTTTATTGAAGGTACAGGATGGCCATATTCACACGTAATGCTAAGCCATACTACTGGCTCCAGGAGGAAGAATGTGCCCACTTTCCTCCTCCCGGGCCCCTTTAGCTCAGTGTGGTGTGGCAGGTTTGGCTCAGTGTGTTATCCAAACCCAGGGTTGTGCTTGAACTCTCTCCCTAACCACAATCTGTCCTCAGGGTTTGTTTTTGGGTTCGCTGCCAAGATGCACTGCCTCTCCCCAAATGAACTGACTCAGACCCTGCAATCATCACCTGAGGCCCTTCTTCGTACGCCTCCTCTGAGAGAGTGGTGGCAGCACGAGCATGGGCCTTTTTGGTGGTGGCTCCCTGTTTTGGAATGCTCTCTCCAGTGAGGCTCGCCTGGCGCCTTCATTATATATCTTTAGGTGCCAGGCAAAAACATTCCTCTTCTCTCAGGCCTTTGACTATCTATGGCCTTTTAAACTGTGTGTGCTCAAGTTATTGTTTTTGTTTATTATTATGATGTGTATTTTTGTGGTTTTATATTGTAAGCTACCATGTGATCCTTGGATGATGGGTTGTATAGAAATTTAACTGATGATGTTGATGATGATAGGACCAGGGAGTAGCAAGTTCCTCTCTGGGTTTAGCACATTTTCAGTAAGCCTACAGTTGTCAGCATGTAATAAATACTACTTCCCACTTTGAGTTTTGTTTGTATATTGCTTTGTTCTCATTCTGGTTCTGTTCCTGTTACTAGTATAGAATAAGTATACTGGTCAAGTGATGTTCCTCTTTTGACAAGAAGGCTTTCTGGATTTGTTGGTTAGGCAAGGGGGCTGTTCACTTAAAGGAAATGTTGCCTTTTTCTACAAGTTTTCAGATTAGGCATTCAGAAGACTTTGCCAATGTACACCTTCCTGCCCTATGTATCTTATGTGCCTACTTGGTTTTTTCAAATGAAAAAGACACTTCCCTCTTTATTACATTGGACAAAATTGTGGGAGTTATTTTCATAAGCTAAACTAGAACAAAACTAGACGTCAATTCAAAACATCAAGGAGCTGGGTTCAGGAGATACTCAGGGGTCATTCTCTGTGCCATTTTTCACACATCATATCCCCCCCGCCCCACAATACAGAACTTATATCATTGTATCATCATATCTGAACTACAACACAAGTAGATCAAAAAGCTATTGCAAGAACGTCCATGAATGTTCCCTTCAGCCAGGGATGGGGGAACATGTGGCCCTTCAGAGGTTGTCAAACCCCAATGAGCCCTAGCCAGCAGGACCAAAGGTCAGGGATGATGGGAGTTGTAGTCCGGCAACATCTAAAGGGCTCCAGGTTGCCCTGTCATCTTGCACTTTTTTGTGTAAAATAAAATGCTTGTTTCTTCTTTTTCCTTCATGAAAAGTGGATTGGTTTAGAGTTCAATAGCATGTTGCCTGAAACAAAATTAATTCCGTAGTAGTATTTTACTGTCTCTCATCCTGGTTTGTACTTTGTAGTTTCCTTGACCTCATGCAGCGACTAAAACCGGAAGTTTTGCCTTGATTGCCTGATTTATCTCAAACTGTAGCTTACCATGACCATGCAAACATGCTGACTTCCAGCAGAAGCTTGTACTCATCTAAAATATTCCCTGGTCCTTTTAATGCTAACAAGATGTAAGTGTAAAATCACAATTGTTGGTTGGTTGGTTGGTTGGTTGGTTTTTTAAATACGGTTTATTCCATTATTTTGTTTGATAATGGGGTTTGCCATGGTATCTAGTAACATTGCCATATCTAGTACTGTAACATGGTTACAGTAACATTGCCATATCAATAATGCAGGATCATAGTATTTAACTTCTTTTCTATTTCTATGGCAAACGTGTTTTCTGTGGATCTCCAAGTTAGTATTTCTGATTTAACAGGAGAGGGGGAGCAATGGTGAATTTCATCTATTCCAATATTGGGGTTGTCAGACTTTTCTTGAACTTTTGTGTAACATTCAAAACAGCCTAATCTGGTGGACAGAAAGTCTTAAGCATATAGAAATATTTACATCTTCATAAAAATAGTTAGCATTTATTGGACTTCTGACGAATTTTAATTTGTGCATTTTTAATGTAAAAGTGGAGCTGTCTGTCTCATATTCATTTTATAAAGCCAGAAGAGCTTATTACTTGCTGATATTGTTCTTAAACAAAGCGAAGATTCTCAGAAGTGAAATATACAACAGATGCTATACTGGAAATCAGACACCACAATTCACTGTGCGATTGTGGTCATGCAGATGTCTAGCCTCTCTGACCTAGTTTCATGCAAAACTGATTTAATCCTTCCTAGTCCTAATTATGGGGTTGCTAGTATGTGACAGGGATAGAGAGATTCCTACATATGTAGGGTAAGGTCACAACAAGGATTTTCAGAGACTACATTGTGATGAACTGGTTCCTTGGGCAGAGTCGTAGCTATGGGGCGTCTAGCTGGGTTTTTTACCCCGGGTGAAGCCCCCAGAGGAGGGCCATTGATGCTCCCAACCTGTGTGTGTGTGTGTGCGCGCAAATGTGCATGGGGGGTGTACCAAACTGGGTTTTTGACCCATGTAAAATAAAGCCTAGTTTTGTCGCTGCCTTGGGCAATGTGAATCTGCAGTTATATAGTCCAGCTTTACATGAATCTTGATTCATTCTCTCTCACATTGGAAGTGAATATTGGCTAGGTTGCCATCTCTTGTCGTAGGCCACTACCAGATTTCACAAGGTGAATTTTTTATTTAATTCTCCCTATTGAGTTAAAAAATATCAGTGTCGTATACAGTTCTCTTCTCTTGTCCATATTTATGGCATTTCCTCTGAATTGAGAATGTCCTTGTTGACTCTCAGTGTTTCTCACTGTTAGTGCAGTGCAATTTATTTTGAACTGACAGCCAACTTAGTCTAGCCCAGAACTGAACTGCTTCCACACACTCTCTTTTCCCAGTTTGTATCAAAATGAATTTGCAAAGAATAAAGTATGCCTGCATCATTAACTTGTGTTAAGCGCAAAGTACCTGTCCTCTAAAGCAGTGTTGTCCTTTAATACCTGTGTATAATGACACTTCCATAAACCAAAGAAATATTTTGATTTACATATAATGAAAAGATGGAGCTATATAAAAGTTGTCACACTTCTCAATATTTTTCTCTCCTTTTTTCTTTTTTGCTTTAGGATTCAAGTGCCCTGTTTGTTCCAAGTTTGTCTCTTCAGATGAAATGGATTTACATCTTGTGATGTGTTTGACAAAACCAAGGATAACCTACAATGGTAAGAAAGTAAGCTAATTACTGCTTGTAGTATGTAACTGAATTAAGATCAGCTGTGAACTAAGTTGATACAATTATTTAAACCAGCAAATACAAAGAACTATTTACTAATGCTTACTTGACACTGATAAAAACCTCACATTTCTGCTGACCCATTCTGTTAATTATTTCATCCATTTCATTGATGCCTCTCTTATATGTTTTTGTTTTCATTTCATTCTTCAAGAGCCATAATCATTCTAGTTGGGAAACTAGTTGGGATACAATTATTGTTTGGACATAAAATCTTGGTATTTCAGTCGTGCAAGTGAGTCTTTTCTAGTTTCCTGACTTTTTGGTATTGTCTGAATGGGGCACTAAAATATCTCCTTCCTCTGGAGTAGAGTACTGAAAATGAAAATTGGTTATTTCAGAACTCCTGGCAATAATTGACCATCAAGGCTAAAACAAAAAGTTGAGTCAATATAGCAGGTCATTGAAGAGCAGATACATTTGCGGGTCACAAACAGCAGATTTAAGCTAGTAAACCAGGAGTTGGTGGTTCTGTCTGTTTTGTTCCCAGATTCTTTTATCCAGATGCACACTTACTTAACTTCTCGTAAGAGTACAGAAATAATATAATTAACAAATCATATTTTAGCACTGAGCAATCCTGAGCAAATCCTGAGCAAAACATTGGGTTCACATACACCCCTCTCCTTTTGCCCTCTTTCTCCTGTGTGGCCAGAAGAACAACTTCTACTGAGTTTACTTTCAATTTAAAAGGATCTCTTTGTAATATTATTTGGAAACCAGGAATCCTGGTTTAATACAAATAGTAGTTGCCAAACAATATAACTTGCATCACCCATGGTTTGAATTTGGTTTGTTTAGGAATTAACCATTGCTTTAAACTGGGATTCCTTGTTCACATAACACCAAGTCGAGAATATTTGGAAATAAAAGTAAGCACTACAGAAGTCTTTCTTGTGGCTGTGTGGAATAAGGAAGGTGGGCTATGTGAACCCAGTGCTTGCTTGGGTTCAGTGTGTCTCATCCATATAATGTCAAACTATGGTTTAGCATTTTGTGTGATCCAGTGAGTCCTATTGTATGTACTTTTTACTTTCTGTGGTCAGACATTGGGTCCATATCTTTTCCTTAAAACTACAATGTGGAGAAGTGTGTAGGCTTTAGGAGTATACTGTAGATACAGGAATATTTCTGTTGCCTAGAACATGGGTTAGAACATGTGACAAGTGGTTCCTTTTTATAACATCTGAAGTTCTCAGACCACACAAAATGTTGTGTTTTAGTTAAGTATTATATGTTTGTTTTTATTTTATTTGGATCTCTTGAAAGATTACAAAGTATAAATCTGCAACGACTTATTGCAGCATAATTTCGGGATACTTTCTGTTGTAATGTACATAAAGGTTTTTACTTATATTTGATAGTTTTCTAACATGCTGGTCAATCGGTGCAATTCATTCTCTCCCACAACTATTAAATTTCCATGTTTTCCACTACACTCAATATGTTTGCAGCCTTTTACAACTATGCTAAGATAATGTTTCGGGTCTCTTGCTGTCTTGCCCAGTATGTAAATCATGCTATTTTACAGGGTTTAAAAATTATTATTCCATTGTTGAAGGCATTTAGCCTAGAGAGAGCCTTGTCCTATTTGACTCTTTGAGAACTGTTGTGATCTTTTTAGATGGTTAGATATTAAATAAGCCATTGTGTAACGTGGATTTTAAAACAGATTAGAAATGTAAAGCTATTACAGTAAGGAAGTTTGTAAAGCTACTGTACAACCACAATAGTGTTTAGTATGATATTCTTAGAAGACAGATCAAACCTGTTGGTGCTAGCAGTTCATGCAGAACACCAGCCGTATCTGTTTTGCCTCATTGTTGCCCCATGTGAAGTATAAATCCACACTGGAAAGAAGTCATCCACCTCTGCTGCTGTTGATTGCAAGGGAAGATGGACAAAGCAGCCTTTTCCAAGGAAGATTGCGACTTAGCTTTTTGTGCATATAGCCAGGCATCCATAAATACATGTGTGGATTCATAATACATCTTTCCAGTGTCGAATGCTTCAAGCAGGGAAGCAATGCTATCAAATCTCATTAGCACTGGGGGTTGGAGAAGGTTAAAAAATGGCACAAATCCATAATGCTCTTTTGTTTCCCTTTTTGTGCCACACTGCAAATGAGAGGAATCCTGTCTCTTCCCCAAGCTCTCTGCGCATCCTGGAGGAGCTGGGATGGGGAAAGATTTGTGGGCAACCACACACCCAGGCTGGCTCATAAGCCAAGACTATCTTGGTCAGTTGTTGCATGTAACCACCTCATTATTGCACTAACATACCTGATCAGAAATCTGAGAAAGTAGGAGCGTGCTTCATGTATCTTCACCACCCTCAGGATTATTTGAACAACTGGGTTACTGAGTAGCTGCACATCATGGAAAGTTTCTACCTAGTCCTCCATATTCCCCCAGTCTCAGAGCCTGAAGCATGATACTTGCTACAAGGTATATTGTGCTGAAACTTTGGTTTCAGACTGCTTCTCTTTATTTTCCTTGCTCCTTACAAAAAAAATGACCCTGAAAATGACCCTTACTTAGCAATACGGAAAGACTGTCGCCCAGCTTCCACTCAACAGCAAAAACAATGGCTTTATGAGCCACTGTGTTCTATGAACAGGCAGCTGATCGCTGCCCCTTAAAGTGGCGATTCAGATGTCAAGTAATGATACCAGTAATAAGGTTCCCTATTTGGAGAATGCCCCCCTTTGCTTGCTTATTATACTGTGTGTAGCTACAATCTGTATAGCTTGTGCAGTTCTCAAGAGTTTTCTATTTGCATATTACCCTTCTGATATGCCTACCTTGTGCTATTTCTGGCTTCTAAGGTAATGGCCTTTTAACTACAGCCTGGTCCTGAGGAGTTAAAACTATTAGTGATGCATTCGGTACTGAAGAGATGGAATAGAGGGCAGGAATAGCATTTCATTTCTACTCTGTTCGAGACACTGGTGTATAGTTGTGCTGATTTTCTTTAAATGACATGGTGGTTATACTCTGTGCATATTTTTTTTTTAAGTCAGTACTCAGAAATGCTGAGCTCCATGACCCTCATAAATAATAGAAATTGAGCAAGTGTGCATAGTTTTTCTTGATTTACATAATTGTTTCTACTGTTGCAAATCAAAGGAGGGGCTAACACTGCAGCCCAGCACACTGAGTCCTTCTCAGCCAGTTTTTTTCATTCTGAGATTTTAGCTGGCACAATTTGCAACATTTTCTAAAGTTCTAGAAACTTTTTATTTTTTTAAAAAAAGAAAAAGCTGAGATTTGCAGGAAGCTGCTTTCTGCACACTCTACCACATTGCAGAATTGCACCATATGGAGTCCTGACTGAGGGTGTGACACACATGTAGTAGTTATTCAATTGGAGGCATTCCTTCCTTCTTCAGGCCTATATTTAATTTTATTTCCTGATAGTGGGGAGTGCCCAGTGCTGCCCAGGAATTTTTGGAAAGCAAAAAATATTGGGGACCAGCATCCAAGTATCTTTAAAAGCTGCTGTCCCCACCTTGGGAACCCTTGTACTTAGTTGGTGATGCCGTCTAAAGATGTGTCCGAATTGACAAGAGAAGGAACAGACAGACAAACCACTTTCCAAAATCCTTAGTAGATGACATACTAATGTTGTACCGTGCAGTGATGACCCACAAAGGGTTAGAGCCCCCAGAAGACTACATAGGCTCCTGGGAAGGTTTGCATAATGCACGTCATATTGTGCTGGTTTGGATGATGTTTTCCACATAGAACCTAGGTCCTACTAACTAATGATTGCCCTAAAAAGTAGAGAATTGGCCGGATGATTGCCATTATCTAGGATTTTGAAATGGATTATTCAGAGGAGAAACTGCCTTCTAAACTCTGGAGCGGATAGTTACCTTTTTGTGCCTTACTGAAAGCTGTTTCAGTCTCTGTCTAAGCGATATCTCAAGCAGCTCTGTTGTGTGGTCTCTTGCCTTAGTGTAGTAAATGTTCTTGAGCATGATATGCTATACAGCATGACAGAAAACAGCACAAAACTCAAAAGAGAAAGCTCTAGGGCAGCTTGCTGTCTTGTTCAATTTGGAATGTTAATTCACTCACAGGCAAGGATTCAAGGTTATAAAAACCTGAGCACTGTGCTTTGTACCCCTGCAAGTGAAGGTCCGATGTTCATACACCAAATGTTGGCAGTCCAGGAATCACAAAATGTTGTACTTTATCCTTTGACTCTTGGAATAATACCACCTTCTTCTTCTTCTTCTTCTTCTTCTTCTTCTTCTTCTTCTTCTTCTTCTTCTTACCCTGCCCAACTGGCTGGGTTTCCCTAGCCACTCTGGGCGGCTTCCAACAAAATATTAAAATACAGTGATCTGTTAAACATTAAAAGCTTCCCTAAACAGGGCTGCCTTCAGATGTCTTCTAAAAGTCTGGTAGTTGTTCTTCTCTTTGACATCTGGTGGGAGGGTGTTCCACAGGGAGGGTGCCACTACCGAGAAGGCACTCTGCCTGGTTCCCTGTAACTTGGCTTCTCGCAGTGAGGGAACTGCCAGAAGGCCCTTGGCGCTGGACCTCAGTGTCCTGGCAGAATGATGGGGGTGGAGACGCTCCTTCGGGTATACTGGACCAAGGCCGTTTAGGGCTTTAAAGGTCAGCACCAACACTTTGAATTGTGCTCGGAAACGTACTGGAAGCCAATGAAAGTTTTTCAGGACTGGTGTTATATGGTCTTGGTGGCCGCTCCCAGTCACCAGTCTAGCTGCCGCATTCTGGATTAGTTGTAGTTTCCGGGTCACCTTCAAAGGTAGCCCCTCATAGAGCACATTGCAGTAATCCAAGCGAGAGATAACTAGAGCATGCACCACTCTGGCGAGACAGTCCGTGGACAGATAGGGTCTCAGCCTGCATACCAGATGGAGCTGGTAAATAGCTGCCCTGGACACAGAATTGACCTGCGCCTCCATGAACAGATGTGAGTCCAAAATGACTCCCAGGCTGCACACCTGCTCCTTCAGGGGCACAGTTACCCCATTCAGGACTGGGGAGTCCTCCACACCTGTCCGCCTCCTGTCCCTCAAAAACAGTACTTCTGTCTTGTCAGGATTCAACCTCAATCTGTTAGCCGCCATCCATCCTCCAACCGCCTCCAGACACTCACACAGGGACTTTACCGCCTTCACTGGTTCTGATTTGAAAGAGAGGTAGAGCTGGGTATCATCCGCATACTGATGAACACCCAACCCAAACCCCCTGATGATCTCTCCCAGCGGCTGCATGTATATGTTGGAAAGCATGGGGGAGAGGACAGAACCCTGAGGCACCCCACAAGTGAGAGCCCAGGGGCTGAACACTCATCCCCCCCACTTTCTGAACACGGCCCAGGAGGAAGGAGCGGAACCACTGTATAACAGTGCCCCCAGCTCCCAGCCCCTCTAGACAGTCCAGAAGAATGTTATGGTCGATGGTATCAAAAGCCGCTGAGAGATCCAGCAGAACTAGGAAACAGCTCTCACCTTTGTCCCTAGCCTGCCGGAGATCATCGACCAGTGCGACCAAGGCAGTTTCAGTCCCATGATGAGGCCTGAATCCCGACTGGAAGGGATCCAAATGGTCTGCTTCTTCTAGGCGTGCCTGGAGTTGGTCAGCACCCACTCGCTCAGTCACCTTGCCCAAGAATGGAAGATTTGAGACTGGGTGATAGTTGGCCATATTGGCAGCATCTAAAGATGGTTTTTTGAGAAGCGGTTTGATAACTGCCTCTTTCAGCGGGTCTGGGAAGGCTCCCTCACAGAGAGAAGCATTCATCACCCTGTGAAGCCCATCGCCCAGCTAGCTTTTATAAGCCAGGATGGGCAAGGATCAAGGAGACAGGTGGTTGGTTTCACTCATCCACTGCCCCTATTGCCCAACTTCGGAACATGCACTCAGAGAACTAGGTCTGCCCAGTAGGACGCCTGGTGCAAACTAATGACTTCCTAAAAATCTCTGCAACCCCCCCCCCCCCAAAGGCATGGGTTGCTGTGTGTAAGAAAAACCTGGTAGATAAGCAGCGGCAAGGACACGCCCATCTGCTTCATCCAACCTAATCTCTGTTACACATGTCAGGTCAAGTCCTCCATCCATGATCAAGTCATGGATGGCAGTAGCCTTATGAATCATTGACCTGGCATTGCACAGCAGCACCTTCAGGTCATGTAGGTATCCCTTGCTGATTCCAGTATCCGTCCGGACAAGACCAGACCCGGAGTAAGGGATAGTCCTCAAATAATGACTAAACCTGCCTCCTCGGTAATGACATGGTCTCGTCTTAGCGTAACTCCTCCTCCAACCCATGATCACTGAGATCAGTTGTCCCAGTTGGAACCTATTTTGATGGGCATTGTGAACAACAGGGCCCATTATGAGCAGCAGCTCATGCACACACAAATCAAGCAAAATGCACACACAAATCATTGGTGCTGGAGAAATGTTTTATATACTTAGGCAGCAGCATCCATATTTTGGAGCCAATATCATACATTTAGAGTCAAGCTCTCTGAAGACAGAACAAACGTTCTGAACTTACTGGCACTAGCACAACATTTTTAGGAATCTGAGCAACTAGGTGCTTAGGAGTTTTCTTCGGGTGCCGCATCTGCTGTCTTGCAATTAGTTGAGTCCTTGGAAAGGCATTACACATGCTATAAACAACCTGAATGAAACTCTGCATTTTGCATTTTATAAATTTATATTTTGTAAGATGGAGCATGGTTGGGTTCTGCTGCAATTGGGAGCTTTGGGGTGCTTTGTTTTCGTGCCAGATGCAAACCTTAGGTTAGGATGGTCTAAAATGTACACATGCAGTCGTGCATTCCACATGCTCTTAAAATATGCTGAGAGAAAGAAGTGGATCCAAATACAAGATTAATTTAACAAGGTTTGAATGTCGCTACTGCTATCTCTTTTAAAGCTGTTACATGGTAAATGGTAAATGTTACAGTAAATGCAACTGATTTAAGTTAGCTGCAGACTCTGACCCATTATTTTCTGCTTTGACTGTACTTGAGTTTCTTATCAGAGCCATTAGGCTTAGTTTGGTTTTCCTTTCTCATGATCCAGTTGATTGTCTTGTTGCTGTTCTGCCCCTCACAAGATCCATTCTTTGAAATTTTCCTGTTTCTGTTTTCATATAACAGTATCTAATCTCTAGACTCTAAGGCAGACTTCAGCCATCATGCAGACTAAATTACAGTATTACAAATATGTAATTGAGCGATACTGCATATTCATTATTTGGGTGAGTCACCCTGACCTTGCTGCCCTGCTTTCCAATGACACTTGCTTCTTCCACTGTTTGCTAACCCTAGTTTCTTGTCTTGCAGTGTCTTCTATAATAACTCTTAGATTTGGTTTCACCATAATCATGTAACCAGTTTTTAAAATTGCACCTTTATAGGGTGATATTCAACTATGTTTTATTCGGAGATGTTTCTACATCTACACAATAAAAGCCAGAGTAGCTGGTCTGGTCTGTTAAGACTATTCCACGCACGAATAGTAAAACAGTTGTATTAGAATTAACTGAAAAACCACAAGCTTGCACAAGTACATTGTGGTTTTGGTTGGTACCAGTAAAGCTTTTGATTTACTAACCCTAGGTAGAATCCCACACATTAAGCAAATAATAAGCCCTTGAGCAAATGTTTTACTTTTGCCATTAACTGAAATGCTTCTGCCATTGGAATTGATAATCTCACAAATACGAATGAGTTGCTAAGAAAGGTATGCAAAAAGTCACTAAAAGCAGTTCAGAGAAAAAAGGGTGTGGAGCTTTTGCACGTGTAGATTTACAATACAGTATGCTTACATTTTCTTATGAGAAATGCACAAGGATTGTTTTCTGTACCTCGTGATTCTGCTGGATAAGAACTACCTGGAATGTCCTACACTTAATCAGTTTCTAACTTTAAAGGTCATTCCGAGGATATCATAAATTGTGTCTGCAACTGCTGCAGTCTTATGACTGCTAGGAACTGTACCTGAGGGCAAACCTGAGCCTTATCTTTCACTATGTTTATGGAGTAATTTTATTTGATTGACCGTATAAGCATCTCACAAGAGACCACAATTATTTTGTTGATGTAGCTCTTTGAATCAATAAAAGCAGTTTTCTTTTTCAGGGTTTCTCTGTCCTTATGACTGTATTTTGCAGGTTTGCAGTTGTTATACCTTACATTGCAGCCCTGTGTATGTCTGCTCAGAAATCTGCTTAATGGGGCTTACTCCCAGTTAAGTGTGTATCAGATTGCAGCTTTAATCAACATTAGTCATAATTGGAGCAGACCTATTGAAAGCAATAGGTTTAAGTTTAGGTCTGTTGCTTTCAAAGGGTCTAAGCTGAGTGTGAGTTTTTGGTATACTGTTAGCTAAAGTGTTTTGGTGTTTTTTAAAAAATAAATAAATCCTAAAGCTGTAATTGATCTCTCACAATGTGGATTTTGTTTGAAATGTGATGTGGTATGAGTCAGTAGCAAAGGAAATTCTTGACTTCAGCATTTTCTGCAACAGCTTAGACACCAGATAGGGTTGCAATTTATGCCTGCCTCAGTCTTTTCCAGGGTTGCAACTCTGTGACAAGTGTTACCGGAAAAATCCGAGGGCTCCCTTGGACAAAAACAAAGACACCAACCAGGATAACTTGGAGCAAAACAGCAGCCTGTAGGCTTGGCCTTTATTGAACTGTTGCAACAGGGTGTTCCCCTCACTTGCAGGAGAGAGGAAAGACCCAGAAAGATGGTGTGCAAGACCTTATAAAAACTTTTGAAATTCCCATCCTCTAGGTCAAGCCCACCCCAGAAACATCATGCATACATTACAGAAAGGAGGGGTTGACATCATGCATACATTACAGAAAGGAGGGGTTGAGGGAGGAGTTGTGGTGGTAACCTGAGTGTCCTGTCACCTGGCTGGTTCCTCCTTTCCCCGGCCCATGAGTCACTTCCAGGAGACAAAGGGAGTTGGCAGTTTCCTGCCCCCAGAGGGAAGATCTGATCATTGTCCTTTGTTTCAGTCCATGCTGAATCCACTCCCATATGCAAGTTCTTTGTGATCTTGATGGTCTTCTGTCTAGGACCATCAGGGTTGGCATAGCAACTGGGCAGGGCTCCTGTGGATGTGCTGGGATGGTGAAGGGATTATGGCTGACCAGAACCAAGCCACCCCCCTTTGATAGTCCTTGTCATATGGAGTAAAATAAAAATGGAACAGTGCAAATCCAATGTATGGTTGATTTTTCTATGAATTTATAACAGAAGTGTGGCATATGTAGTGTGTGAGTGTGAGTGTGTGAAGTTTGTACAAACTGAATGATTGGGGTGGGGGGGTTCCTGCTACACAAGAGTTACGCATACTGGAACGATCTTTTCTATTTCAGATGAAAATGTAGTACTGTTAATTTATACCTATTTTTGTTTTTTAAATCAATTTTTATTGCAGGAAGTGGTGTGTATGTGTTGCTGGTTTGATTATGTTAAAATCCAAGTAGGAATTTCTGAACTATTGAGAAGGATTTTTGATTGGAAAATGCTTGCTGCGCCAAGACAGAGAATTGTGACATTGTTTAACATTGTAGCTTATTTCATACAGTGTTGACCGTTTACATTTTTTACACTGGAAACACCCAGTGTTTCCATAATTTGTATAACAGTGTCATCTTACTTACAGGGGTTTAAGCTAATGTGTTAATCTTACCTTTGAAATGCTTATCTAAGGGCCCTGGTTGCATCCTGTTGAGGAATTGTGTACAAAATGTCAGGCTGAGAGATATGGTGGAATACAGAACCTAACATCCACAATAACAGTGGAAGAGGTGCCTGAACAGTTGTGTACACATGCAACTCAACTGGAGTGGTCTCCTAATGGATGTGGCTATGCAGGTTTTTACCATAGCAAGTCTACATCCAAATACTTCAGAACTTGCAGGATTACATCTGTTCCTATTGGTCCCCATTTTCAACAAAACAACTTCAAAGGGGAAGCTCCATTGTGAAATTTTAAAACTACAGTGGTACCTCTAGTTACAAACTAAATTCATTCTGGAGGTCCATTCTTAACTTGAAATGGTTCTTAACTAGAGGCATGCTTTCGCTAATGGGGCCTCTTGCCGCTGCGCCGCCAGCACACGATTTCTGTTCTCATCCTGGGGCAAAGTTCTCAACTCAAGGTAACTCTTCCAGGTTAGCGGAGTTTGTAACCTGAAGCGTTTGTAACCTGAGGTGTTTGTAACTCGAGGTACCACTGTATAATGCATTAACAACTTTTTTGTGGCACCTTATGTTTTACTTGGGTGACAAGTAGCATTCATTTTCCTTTTCTAGGTCTGCCCTGTAGTAGATTTATTTCTGGCTACAACACTGTGGAACTTTTATTTCACTGGATGAGTATTGTAGACTGAAACACCTGGTGTAAATCCTTTAGTTGTGAGTCAGAACAGAGGCAGTTCTACACAAAAACATGTAGATATATATATAGTTGTCAGTAGGTTTCCAACAGAGGGTGCTTATGTCCATAATGTTTTTCCACCGTAGTGTCTAGAAAATTACTTGTTAATAAACTGGTCCTGGCTCACAACGATGGTGAGTTGAATTCCTAGTAGAATTTCCCAAGTGTTTCCTTTCCATTAGTCAATCTGAGCCTGGACTAGTTCATTCAATGGGACACTCTGGTGCTACTGCTTTCAGTTTGTTTAATCACCTTCCGCAGACATACCTTAAGGTGATATACAAAATACAATAAAAACAACACAAGCAAATCCTAAGCAGGCAGAGAGCTATCCATCCAGCTGCAAAGCTTCCTTGAACAAAAATATATTCAATAGCTTCTAGAAAGTACAGTGTGTGTTTGTCATATAATGTGACAGGAATACCACTCTACAAAACTGGTGTAGCCTGCTCCAAGTTACTGTGGAGGGAGCTTCTGATATCTTTGGAACTTGAAGGAGAAGCTCTCCTGAAGTCAGCAGCGACCCACTTAGTATATATGGCATGAGGTTGTCTCTCAAGTAACCTGGTCCTGAGTTGTAAAGGATCTTACAGTGGCAATGCCTTGAATTTGATCCAGTAGCGGAGTGGCAGTCGGTGAAAATCCTACAAACCAGGTTTAATTCCTGGCAGCAGTTTGCCCCCACAAGCCACCATATTCTGCAACAGATGAAGCAGAGTCCAGACCAAGGGGAGCCCCCTCATTTGTTGGAAACCTCCTGATTACCACACACACACACACACACACACACACACACACACACGCTACTATCTTTCACTACTGCAATTACTCAGTATTCCTCCTTATATTGAGGAGCCCCACACCTGGCTGTGAGGGACATGGCTGTCATGGTCATTGGGGGTGGGACTGGACTAGCTAGCATGGTTCCCTTGTACATTTTTCAGTGCTTTTGGTTTCCTGTAAACACCCCAAAAGTAGTCTCTCTAGGAGGTGTCAGTATCTTAGTGGTTAGGACTCTGAACATAGGTGCTGCCTTAGCTTCTGCCTTCAGAGCTGCTTCCCCTCACAGATGTATATTGACTCGGTTTCCGTGCAACGCTAAATCAAACCATGACTTGGTGCAGGCTCCCAGAGAGGAGTTTGTGGCTCGCAGCTGCTTTGCTCTTCCTCTGGTCTTGCTGCTCTGAACCAAGCCACGGTTTGGTTTAGTGCATTGTCTGAACCTAGGCACGTGATTTGTCTTGCTCCAGGCAAGCCACAAGTTGTAAACCAAGAACAAATCTTGGCTACAGCTCATGACAAACCACTAGCCTGGGCTCAGATGACATGCTAAGCCAAACTTTGGTGTAACTCTCACAGTGAAGACAGCTATGAAACTGTCAGCTATGACAGTGAGGAGGGGTTATTTCAAACTACAAAAGCTTGTTCTGCAAGTACACTGGTTTGTCTATAAGGTGCTAGAACTGTTTTGCCCTGAATCAGCCCATTGATGTATGTAGCTCAGTACTGTCTAACCTGGCTGGCCCTCCAAGGTCTAAGGTAGAGACATTATTCAGACCTGCCTGGACCCGTAATTGGAGATGCTAAGGTTTGAATTTTGGTCTTCATGTACGCAAACCATTTTTCTTTTGTGAAGTGATTTAGTGCTTTATTTGTTGAGGTCTAAAACTTTCAGGGAAGTCATATGTCTTTTATATTGGTATTCCCGTCTTCATTGTGGCTCTATGTAAGCATTCAGAATGGGTAAACATCCTCAGAACAATGATTACATGCAGCATTGGCCACCTCCTGGAGTCCACCCTACTCTGCTCTCCATGTGTTTGCTGTAAATGTCTACTTTGGATGTGTGCTTATAGAGCCCCTCAAATGAAAACGTAAGATCCTAACTTAGGGTCATTTGATTGAAAGGCAAGAATAAATAACACCCTATTTTGGGAGGTACGGTTCTACAGGTACACATGCCAACAAAGAGAGGTTGAGGCAAGCATGACCGTATTAACTCATCACAATCCCTTGACTTACCAGGAGGAAAATGCATTGTTAACAGCCATATTGAAGTCTTGCTAAATGTGTAAAAATAAAACTACAGACAGGTTTGAAGCTTGTCCTTCGTTAAGAGTAAAATCAAAACATCCAGAGCTTCTTGCCATAGCTTGGTTGGGGACAGAATGCTGCTGAATCCCAGTTGTTGGAAATTTCAGGAGGAGAGAGTGTTCTTTTGCTTGGGTCCTGCTTGTGGGCTTCCGATAGGTATTACTTTGGCACTCTGAGAACTGGCTGCCGGACTGGAAGTGCCATTTGCCTGTTGTAGCAGGCTCTTCTTAGATTCTTCCATATGTTATAACTTTCATTAGGCTATGCCACTTGCATTGTTTTACAATTTACTAATGTATCAGATTTTAAGATTGGTTTGATCATTGTCAATTTATATTTGTATGAAATCGACTTGACATACAAGATGTTTGCTTAATTTGCCAGTATCAGTGACTGCAGTACATAATTAAAAAACAACAACAAGCTTTCTCACTAATTTTACACACACTTTATTAAGTTTCTCTCTTTTCTTTGCATGCAATAGAGTTCTGCTTTGAGGACTTAAGCACTTGAGTCCATTGTTGCTTGCCCTGGCATGTAAAATAAGCACAAAGGAGATGAAGTTTTTTTTGGGGGGGGGTGTCAAAATGTCAGGCACTTAAAAAACATCTACATGTTATGGAAATTAGAAGTATCTCTGCAACTTAGGGCAACTGTCACTGGCCAAGGAATAGCATTTTATTCTCGGCGGCTTCTGTACTATTACTAAAATAAAATCTATTATCACTCTTGATTTTTCTAGGGGAGTGCACATTGTGTGCTGCTTTTGTGATGGTCTGCTATCATTGAGGGTTCAAGAACAAAAAAGTATTCAGGTAACATGCCTGATCTTTCATCAGTCAAGTTGTAGTGGTTGTCTGTCTCTCTCCTTCCCGCCCCCTTTCCGCCCCCATTTCCACTGAAACAGATGAATTATTTGGATGCTTCGTCTGAATGGCAAATATTTCTGTTATGGAGCAGAGCATGGAATCCTGTTGGATGCTTTCATTAAAACCAATATATATTGCAGATAACAGGCTTTTGTTTTGCTGTCTGCTTTACTCATGCTGCCTTGACCTACATTAGTATAGACGTTTACTAAGAAGAGCTTTTTGTTTTGCATTTTGGGTGCATGAAAGCTACTGATTCTAGACTTGATATAAATGTCTACAGAAGCACCTAGTATATTGAGTTCACTGACGCACAAGCAGCATTTAATTGATTGGCCTTTAAGTAGCTATCTCCTTTTCTCCAGTGGTAAAATCTTTACATACCCAACTACTAAATATCAAAGCATATAATAAGTTATGTCTAACTAGCCTCCACTGTAAGCAGCTGAACCTGAAGTTGGTTTAAGCAAGGCCAGGTCAGATGTAGGAGAGAACTCTGGGGCTTCTATTTCTTTATCATAGATCTTGCTAAGCAAGGGTGTGACTAAGTGCTGTCTGCACAGTCTGGGTTGCCTTGTGGCAGCAGGTAGTGATATCATGGCAGTTATGGAAACCTCCACAGCAGTACAAATTGGTTTGCTGCAAGGTTCATGTATGACTTTGTTCTCTCTGTGTGTCATGTTCTCTTTGCATTTATCATGCCACACTGGTGATAAACCAGGGATGATTGGGTTTGTGCTCAGAATCTGGCATTGATTCACTCCAAGCAGTTGCTTAGGGTATAGTTTCTCTGTACGTCAATGTTAGGGTGACAACATTTGCTATGCAGAAGAGGAGACTGAGGAGAGCCTTGTGGTATGTGAGTCTTAGCTTATCTGGCCGCCGTGGAGACTGTAGAGTAGACTTGTGGAAATGGCTCTTTGTGGGAAAGTCTGTAAATGCATTAGGCGCTTACATCAATTTGATCTGAAACGAGACTTGAATTTTAAAGTTGCTTCTAAAAATTATGCCTTCATAACAGTGGATTGTGCAAGCTCAAAGCCTGCCAGGATGAGGCTCAGAGGTGATTGGGGATTGGACAGAAAATTCAGCATCTTTTATCTTGTGAACAACCCAGAGATCTTGTGATGTAGGGAGGCATATAAATCAGATAAATAGATATTTAGAGAAGATGCCTTTAAAGTGCCAAGTGAATCAGTCGGTAAAACAGAGTGAGCTTCTTCATAGTGTAGGCATAAGACACTTAGGCCTTGCTGTCCAAGCCAGTCAGGTTTCCCTTGGTTTTTAAGTATCCCACAAAAGCTTGGAGTTCATACCCTGCCAACTGGCTGGATTGCCATAATTTTAGATCATGGCTGAGTGCAGGGGGGTGGGGAACCTTTTTGACCTGGTGGACCAGATTTTATCTGTCTCCATCACCACAGTCCAACTTTGCCTGGCCAATAGCCAAACAACTGGCTGTTGGGTGCTTGGGAAATGCTGTGCAAAGCACATTGCAAGCTCTGTGTTTCCCAGGTGTTTCTGGCAAAGGGCCAGAAAAGCTGCTTTCTGCAGGGATCAGCTGCACAATCAAGTTTCCCCATGGGAAGTTAGATTGCGCAGCCATTCCAGCCACATCTGTACCCATGAGCATGATGGGCGTGGTTTTAGGAAAACAGCTTAGTTGGCCAATTTGGGATGTAGGCCAAATTTGGCCTGCGGTCTGGAGGTTCCTCACCCCTGCTTTAGTGTTAGATGAGTTCGGGCAAGCACAAGTGAACTGCCAGGGTTGTGTGTTCCTTCTCCTATAGGGCCAGGGTTACTTTGACAGAGTTTAGTTATGCTTTAATTAACCCCAGCCTTACTGTGTATTCAAACAAATAATCTAATTACAGTTGTACCTTGGAAGTCGAATGGAATCCGTTCCGGAAGTCCGTTCGACTTCCAAAACGTTCGGAAACCAAAGCACAGCTTCTGATTGGCTGCAGGAAGCTCCTGCAGCCAATCGGAAGCCTCAGAAGCCCCGTTGGACATTTGGCTTCCAAAAATAGTTCACAAACCGGAACAGTCACTTCGGTGTTTGCGATGTTCGGAAGCCAAAACGTTTGAGTACTAAGCTTTTCGAAAACCAAGATACGACTGTGTTGTAATAAGCTAACTTGGTTTCAAGTTGGCATAGTATGAAACTTACCAAAATGTATGTTTAAACCAGGATCCTACCAACTAAAATGAAACACTACCAAAATCATTATCTTAGCCATTTGGGAAGAGGAGTACAGAATGGAGCATGTAAGCCCAGTTCTTGGCTCGGGCCCATTCAGGCATGTTGACATAGTGCTAAATTGTGGTTTAGTGTTACATGTGAATGCAATCCATGTTTTAATTAATGACTAGAAACAGGAGGTTCATAAAACCATGCCAGTATAGGTAGAAATTGCTTCTTATAAACTGAGGACATTTTAATTTGACCAGCTTCTGCGAATTCTTCATACTGTGGAAATAGGAAGATCTGTTACCTTTCATGTAGCATACTGAAATTGCCTGAAAAGTATTTCATAAAGATTTCGCAGGAACAAATAAGAATTTGTTTCAAGCCCTAGTTCTGTGGAGAGAATTAGCAATTCTGATTTTTCCTTACTGATTTGTATCTCAACACAGAGAGATCAGTTTATAGTAAATCTTGACATTAATTCAAAGGATTCATCACAGAATTGTTGTCGCATTGGTATTACAGCTTTGTCACCTACAAAAATATCCCCGTTTGGGGGATCATTGTATCCACTACTAGTAGTAAATTACTGAGAAAATGCTCAATTTGGGTGGGAGGAGCCTTCTTGGCTGTTTTTGTCTGGTCAAATAGAGAGCGTGCTTGAAAAGTTATTCAGTTGTATGAATAACTTACAAACTTTTTACTCTTTCATTAGTTAAGAAGTTGTAAACTTCCAGTTTCTGCTTCTTCAGTGGAAGAAAACCATTTAAGGTATCTATGTGCCATCATTCATAACCTACTTTGAAATTAAATTATGGCGTGTTGTCACATGCCTTTGGTTTTACACCATCAGAACTCATTTTCACTCCACAAAAAGAGATGCCTCCAAATTCTGGAGCTGGTTTTGAACTTCTAATCAAGTGGAAATGGACATGGATTGCAAGGGGAAAGGGAGGGTCACACTGGTTCTGGAATATCCTTGTTATTTAGATATGGCAGGCATAGATTTAGCCATCCCTAGCTTGCAAAGGCAGAAGGCAAGGCCAATCCACTTCTTGTAAGAGACAGTTCTAGGTGCAGCATACATGGATAGGCACTCAGCACAATTTAATCCAGAATTGGCAATGCTGTGCAGAATTTAAACCTCTTTCACATTCATCAGCTGCTTCGAAAGCCTGGCAGGTGGTGCCTGTGGAACACTGCTTTCCAGGTTCAGCGCAGGAGTAGTGGTTGGCTCTGGCAAACCTCTGCCAGTTTGAGCGAACTCTGGTGAGGTAAAGCTACAGAAATCAAGCACATGGGCTTATTTTGCAGAAATTCTGCCTCAGGTTTTGTCCAACCCTATGCCATCTGGAAACCATATTGCACAACTTGCAATCTGGAAGCGAATGGGTGTATCTAGTGTTGATGTTTAGTTACTTTTTATGATCACCACTTCAGCAGTAGGGATATACAGAATCTAGTATGTCAGAGGTGCTTCTTTTCCATGTTCAGGCTTCAGGTGATAAAGGTCTCTGTTCCGTAAGGAGGTATATACTATAAATATTGATCTTTGAATTATGGGGAAGGCTGAGAGAGCATTTATATTATTTTCTGTCTATATCTGAGTTGAAATATATTTTATACCATCATAAATAACTCATTTTCCAAGTGTGGATCCTTAGTAGCCAAGTGGGTACCATCTATTTAGAACACGAAGGTTGGTAGGCTTGGGGAGACACCCCCAAGCAACACCCCCCCACACACAAAAAGGCTTTGGAAGAAATCCCTAAGAGGTGGAAAACCCCAAAAGAGCCTGTGAGGACCAAGCATGCTTAGTGGTCACAGAATGCTGTCTAACCGTTCAAGGGTGGAAAACTGGGAGAGCGTGGGATGCATTGGAGTTTACTGGAAGAGGGCATGGCTGGCTGACTGGCTGGAAAGCTTTGATGCAGGTCTTCCTTGTTGTTTTCTATCTGCACAAGCATGTGAGGTATTGTAATCTTTAGCCCTACATTCCAGTAGCTTGTTTCACAACAGTATTCCATTAGACTAAATCAAACCACAGTATGATTTGATTTTGTGACTGCTAACTTCATTGAATGTTCAACGTGATAGATCTCATCTTCCTTGCCATTTCTTTAAAGGATATTGTCAATACGGGGAATGAAATATATATTTTTTTGTCTCTGTTGTGTTTTGCCTGTGTCTGTAGAGGATGTGCTGAGTAAAGATGCTGGGGAGTGTGCAATATGCCTGGAAGAGCTGCAGCAAGGGGATACAATAGCACGATTGCCTTGTCTATGCATATATCATAAAGGGTAAGTACACGCGAAACAGAATTCAGCAGCTGGGACTTGGAATCATAGAATTGTGGAGTTGGCAGGGACCCAAAGGGTCATCTAGTTCAACCCCCTGTAAGGCAGGAAGCTCAACTAAAGTATCCATGACAGATGGCCATCCAGCCTCTGCTTAGAAACCTCTAAGGAAGGCGAGTCCACAACCTCCTGGAGGAATCTGTTCCACTTAACCATTCTAATAATTCACTGAAATAATTTTAATAGATTTGCATTTAAAAATGAGATTTGACAAGGTGGAATTTCTAGAGCTTATCCCCTCAGCATATTTACTTTTCCTCTTAATTGTTTTTCTTTGGAAATCTTACTTCATAGTATGCAAGGACCCTCAAAAAGACGCCTTTACTGAGGTTTTCCAATATATAGCTTTTTGATTGATTAATCAATTACAAGTCTGTTAACCATTTCTGAATGATTGCCCTAGTTAACACGATACTTTCATTATAAAGAAAGCATTTACTTGAAAAAAAATATTTCTGTTTCCGTGGAGCTGACTGATAAGCAAACTTCTCTTTGTGTTTCAGCTGCAGTAAAGAAATAATTCTTCTCTCTGTCTCTCTCTCATAGATGCATAGACGAATGGTTTGAAGTAAACAGATCTTGTCCTGAACATCCCTCAGATTAACGTCAGAGTTTCCTGTTTTGTGTAGGTAACTACTGTCATATAGGTTGCTGTCCCCAAAGACCAATCTATAAAGCTGAGTAGCTTTCAATATCTGGCTGTAGCACAACATGAGTTCTAATGCTCCAATAACCTTTTGTTTCAGCTACTTTTCTTAATGGTACATTGGCACAATAACTTCTGGGATTGGACGCAGTTGTTAAATGTATTTGATTCTTGCACATGCTAGAGACTTCAGACCGTCGATACTGTCACTGATGATGGGGATGAATGCTGAATCCTTGCAGCCTGAACCACCTGCTTCCTACTCTTGCCATGGGGATTTTTGTGTCAAGAAATTCCTGCCTTAACCCGATAAACCACCTTTAAGTGGTGGTTTATCACTTAAAGGCTTAAGGCCCTCATATTTATGGGACCGCATCTCCTGGTATGCCCTGCAGAGGACCTTAAGGTCCACGAATAACGATAGTTTAGAGGTCCCGGGCCCTAAGGAAGTTAGACTATCCTCCGCCAGGGCCTTTTCAGTGATGGCTCCGACCTGGTGGAATGCTCTGTCCCATGAGACTAGGGCCCTACAAGATTTAACCTCCTTTCTCTGGGCCTGTAAGACAGAGCTATTCCGCCTAGCCTTTAATTTGAATTCAGCCTGATCTTTTCCTTCTCTTCCCTCCCCCTCCTCTTTTATGAAGATTACCCACTCTGGGACCCCACAGCTAATTCTCCCCTGGCCTCCTCGCTGGCCCAAGTAGGACTAATTCAGCCAGCTAGCCCTGGTGACTATCTAATGTTTATTGGACGGATTTCCCCCAAATTGATTTTTGAACTTTGAATTTTATTGTCATTCATGCTTTTATACTGTATTTTATGCTGCTTCTATGTCGTATTATAATTAAGTGTTTTAAATTTGTTGTTAGCCACCCTGAGCCCGGTTTTCTGAACCGGGAAGGGCGGGGTATAAATAAAAAATTATTATTATTATTATTAATCCAATTCTGCTGGAGCCATCTTACCATTCTGGGCAGCAGTGCAGGCCCAAGACATTTTGCTGCCTGAAGTGGCATGTAAATAAATGGCGGCCCTGCTATGGCAAACACTTTATAAAGGCATTATCTGCGCCATTCAGACACCAATTCTTACCCTGTGTCTTCCCAGATGTAGCACTTAGCATCTTGGTGCCTAATGCTTAGTAATGACAGTGGTAGGCTGTTTTCACCAGGCATTCATCAATGTGGAACAAGACAGTCTGGCAAAGACCAGCAAGCGGTGCCATTTGAGATGCTCTTTAAAGAGTTGTCTCTTAGCATACTCAGTTGTGACTTGCTGGAACTAGACATGTTACTATTCAGTAACATCTTTTTCATGACTTTATCCCCACAAGGAAAAAATATTGTGTGTCATATTTCAGGCATATTTTTTTAAAACTTGAAAACCACAACTGTGTTAGAGCAGGGTGGAGGGGGCATCAATACTTTCTAAACTTCCTATTTTTAAATGCCTGTTGGCATTTGTGTCAAGTTATTTGAGTTGGCGCACAATACAAATAACTCCTTTAGGCTCGCAGGTACCAGGAAGGCTTTCCTCTCTACACGCACCCTGAACAACAGCCCTCACATGCTGTATCAAAAATTGCTCTTGAAGCATGATTAATTTTTCAGAAATGTTTTTTTGTGACCCACAATGAATGTCTGTTTAATGGAAATGTATAGTGAAAAGTCTCACTGTGCCCATAGCGTTACTCATGTGGTCTCTTGATTGTTAATCACCATAGCCTTGATCAAAGAAGGCCCTTTCTTTTTCCTTTCTCCCCCCTCCCTTTTACTATTTACCAGGTTTCATCTACTATTTCTGCATTCTTCGGTCATCTTAGAAACCACAATACAGATGTGGTGGGAGTGGGGAGGAGTTATGGCACTGAATGATGGGTGCTGCCATTTAAAAATACTCCCTGCACCTCAAGCCTTTTCTGTTGTTAACATGTTAATACAGTATTGAAAAACTAGGCATTGTGACAAAAGGTGGCTCAATTCACACATAATGCTAAGCCAAACTATGGTTTGGCATGAACAAGCAAGCATGCAGGTGCATGTTTAGAAAATCACAGCCTCTTTGCTCTTCAGCCAGAAGCTGAACCATGGTTTGGCTTAGCTATACAAGCCCAGCCTTGTAGCTGGTCTTGCTCCAAACAAACCATGAACGGTAAGCCGAGAGCTAACTCCGATTACAGCTTGTGGTTTGCTTGGACCACGACAAACCACAAGCCTGGGCTCTCATATAGCACTAAGATGGCAATTGCAGAACCAGCAGGAGGGACAAATTTTCTAAATTTGCAACAACTCACTTGGGCATATTTGGCTTGGCATTGCTTGCAGAGCAGGTTTCTCTCCTGCTCTCTCCTGCTTAGGTAGTCCAAGAACAAAAGAAGTTTTCACACCCAAATGAGTTATGGAGCTCACTACTTTTTGGCCAAGCCCACATACATCATATGGGCACTGAGAAAATGGTGGGCAATAGTGGGGAGAATTTGCGTGGCTGCTTCCCTCTTATTTCTCCTTCCTCCTGCCATCATGTGAAACGCAGAAGGGTTTGGCTTCCTGCTGCTCTGTACAGTGGTACCTCAGGTTACATACGCTTCAGGTTACATACACTTCAGGCTACAGACTCCGCTAACCCAGAAATAGGTCCCTCCTGAACTTTGCTTCAGGATGAGAACAGAAATCGTGCTCCGGCGGCACGGCGGCAGCAGGAGGCCCCCTTAGCTAAAGTGGTGCTTCAGGTTAAGAACAGTTTCAGGTTAAGAACGGACCTCCGGAACAAATTAAGTACTTAACCTGAGGTACCACTGTATGTGGGACGGGGTAGCACATCTTGGTGGTAAATTATGGGAAATGCCAAGGAGAAAAGTATTCCTTCTCAAAATCCCCAATACACCACTATTACAGGATAAATACAAGTGAATCGTTTTCTCAGTATCAGCTGGTTCTTATGGCTGTTTATACACACAAGGGCAATTTATTTTTAAGTGGTGTCCAGAGAGACTCATACTCTCCCCCCCCGAAAAAACCCAAAACTGCTGTTTATAGAACACACTCCATTTCCAAGAAAGTTAACTTCCTTCTCTGTGAATTTCTTTCTAGTCTCTCACACTGATCATCACGTGTAAAGGATTTGGCGTTTCATCTTCAGATGCCGACGTGAGACTGGACTTCTGTTCACTTTGTACTGGAAAGTTAAGAGGGAGATGGAACACGACACGGGACAAGTGATGCGAAGCTGGAAGCTCAGTGTACCGACACTCAGCTTAAAGGAGACACAGGGATTCTTGAAAATGCTGCACATCCTGGAAAAGTCCTCTTCCCACAGACTTTACGGACAACATTTTGTATCTACAGGCCAAAGTTACTAACTTTCATTTTATTTTTATTTTATTTTTTAAAAAAGAAAACTGTCTACAGAAGCAGTTTGTTCTCATGTTCTTTCTTGAATGGAAGCTGTGTGCTCCGGATCCAGATTCTGGGACATTGTACAAGGAAAATGCCATTTTGGAGTTGGAATCCGCCCCACTCCCACTGTGTACCAGGAGCTTGGCATTGGGGGTAAAGGCAATCTATGAAGTACATACAGTTAAGCGGTGTGAACTTCCTCATGAAATTTTGCACCCTTTATGCTGTTCACATTTTTTCTGTGAAAGAATGCAACATTCCTTGACTTAGGATTTTTATTTTTATTTTTTAAGTAAAGCTTTGCCAGAGTGCAGCCCAAAGAGCAAAATGTAATCAAGGCAGATCATTAATTGACGTCGTTGATCAGGCTATAGAGTTAATTGAAATCCGCATACTGTGTTCATTTACTAAAATTCACCTTTACTGCTTGTGGATATCAATGCAGCAGCAAAACTTAAAAAAGAAAAGAGAGAGAGAGCATAATTTAGCAGCTATGCAATATTTTTTAAAATAAATTATAGGGAAATAAGAATTACCATCTCAAGTGCTGCCAGTTAAGGTAATTTAACGGGTATTTTTTAAACATGTTTCAGGTAGTTATTTTCTTGTACTACTTTAATCTCCAGGCTGTTTCTCTCTAGCTGAGTAGTCACAAAGGTGGGCAAAGTGATACATTTCATGGGGATGGGACCTGGATTGACTTTTGTCTGTTTTTTTTAATTATTATTATTCAAGGTTGTCTCAGTGGCAGATCATAGTAGTTCATGTTCAGTGCTGTTAGCCAGGCTTTTGACAGTAGCTATAATTCTGTACCCAATTGCTCATCCTTCATCCCATTGATATAAATGGGTTTAAACATACATAACTGTGAGCATTCGTTTGAAGGAACCACCTATATTTCTTGAACCAATAAAACTTTACACTACTGTGGCTTACCATAAATTGAAAAATGAGGGGTATGGGATAGGGTAGGGAAGAAGCTCACTAAGTAAAATTGTGAGCTGTTAAGAATATATCTGTTTCCACACAAAAAAGGGACCCGTTTTGGAAGCTGTTAAAAGTACCTTGTAAAGTTTGTAACAAAAGCGTTGAATAAAGGTGATTGAAACTTTTCACATGTTTATATAGCAAAAAATAAGATGTATTTCACATTATTTTGTTCTTAAGAATTAAATTATGCTTCTGTTAAGACTCCCCCTCCCAACCAAAAAAAGTGGCAAATGGAGAAGGGTTAAGTAGCCCACTTCTATGTCTGCCCTGCAAATGTCTCCCTCACCCCACCTTGCAAGGCAACCTGTCTTTGCCACCCAATACCTACTTCTGTCAAATGAAAGGAAGCAATATGGTGGTTTCTTGTAGCTTTAGGATATTGGATAGAGAGAGAAAAGAGTTTTATTAGCCTGTAGGCAGCCTGTTACTCCTTCCTGGTATCTCAAGTTCTTTTTACCTTCTGACAGTAAAGACTTGCATTCATTGGCTTTAAATTATGTCTCCATCTCATGTAACAGCACTGTGTCGTACCATTCAGGGACTTTCCCTCCCTTGAACTTAAATCAGATCTTTTGCTGCAGCTGCTGGGATTCAATGATTTTTTTTTCAGGGATCATTACTGCTGGTACTAGACACTGAGGTTGGGACAATATAAGCAAGGCAGTAATTTAAATGTAAATGTACTTGTGATTTTCTGCACTAACTTATCGTTCTCCACCTTTCCCAGTGTCCTGTTGGTACTTTACATTTTTAGATTTACGTGTAACACTGGTATACAGGAGCTCTTAGGAGGAAGAGTTAATCAATATACCTATTCATATATCAGGGAGCCAGGATTGGCTGTGACTCTTGAGCAACCTGGAGTTTGATTCCATGTAATTTGTAAATGGCCCTGGAATGTGAATATTTCAGACTGGGCACTTTTCAGTCTGGTTTCTTCACGTATCTATTAACTGAAGTACCTTTTTCCTTTGAGGCCTCAAAAGCTTTTATTCTATTCAGTCTCCTTACACACAAAAAAGCAGGTGGGTCCAGAAATATATGTTTATATTGCTTGCTACTCCAGTACACTTAAGGAAAGAAAAGGAAGAAACCTGTCTTTTACTGTCATTTATTCTCTTGGCTGGTTTTGAGCCAGAGTGGGATTTTCCAGATACGATTTTGCTTTGTCAAGCAGACATGCTGGTATGGAAAGTCCCCACTCTGCATTGCCAATGAGCTAATCTCAGTGTTGATCTTCTTGATAGCATAACTTGCTATTTATACTTCCTTGTCTTAGACTTTAAGCTTCAAATCTCTTTCCTCCTTACTTCCTCCTTCTAAGTCATTGCACACTGCAGTCTTGAGCCTTATTCTGCCCTGCCTCTTTTATTTGAGCAAACTCTTTTGTTGACCTCAATTAGCACTCCATTATACAGATCTCGCCAGAGGAGAAGCTTTTTCCATCATTTTGGCCCAACCACTTCCTTGTGTCCAATAGTAGCAGCTTTCTTTAGATGGCTCTGGCTTCTGATCCAGCCCTGTGCAATGAAACTGAAAAGCTCCAAAGTGCAGCCAGCCAGGTTTGGTTCTTAAGTACGGTGTTTGCTCCGTGTTCTGCTGGATATATTGAAAAGACAGAAGTGCATTGTTCTAAATTAACTCAGTCAGGAGGCCAAATTTGCGGTTGCAGTTCAGAAGCAGAACAATGTAAGTTGCTGCTGTTGGAGAATTCTCAGGCTGCTGGAAGGCATTCTCTAGAGTACATTGGTATGTTTCATGCCACAGTGGTGGAAACTGTAAAAGTAATGCAAAGCAGTGCTGAAAACTCAAAGCTGCCCATGTGTCCAGCATTTATTTGGAAAATTGACTTGCTTTTGGTACTACTTTTTTTGTGTCTCTGAGTTGCCAAAAGGCAAGAATCCCTATCTGCTTGAAAGAAATGTCATAAATGATGTGCAGACTTTGCTTGCTGTCAGTCTAGTTCTTTATATATGTGGCATCTGTTTAAGTGTTTCAGAAGTTGCTTCAGCAAAGATTTTGCTTTGCATTCCAGCCTGCAAACATGAATTGCCAGATTAGTTGGCCACAATATTAGTTGACTGATTGATGGAGGTAAATGTTAGATCTACTGGAACAAACGTTAAGCAGAGATGCAGAGGGTTAAGGGTACTGTTGCTCATTTTTGAGGCTATTTTTGGATCTGGATTGTGATGGGGGGAAAGGGAAATATTTTAAAGATGACCTTCTAATAAGTCAAGGCTTTTTAAATGAAGTAGTTGGTTACTTTGCACTTCCCTTAAACATCTCAAAAGATACCCAATACTGAATTTTTCATGTATCCAGATTCTGTGGATTTATCATTCAGAAGGCATCAAACAACTAGCAAACTGCTTGCCCTTGTTCCTACACACGGCGACATACAGAGTGAATCCTCATTGAGTCCTTAAACCCCTTTTCGTTAGACAAAACATTTGCACTTTTTCTCTTTTAAGTGTCGTCAGTGGCAAACTCTTGTTCATGCAAGTTGCAAAAAGTGGCTCCTTCACAAATTGTATGGTCTGCGGTTTCAAACTAAAAACCTTCAGGGAATCCTTTTTCTGTTGTCTTTTTTTCCCCTTTTCTTTGCCACCAAGGAGCCACTGTGCCTTGGAAAGAATTCTGAAATTCTAAGACAGTTCACATGAGGTACTGGCCAGTCTCGTCAGGCCTTGCCACACCTTCTGACGAACTGAGGGAATGTCCTCTAACACACCCAGAACTTCATGGTAGGCCAGGATTTATAGTGGGTGGTAACAGTGTCTGAACAGAAAACTTCTCTGCCCATATCTTCTCATTGTAGAACATCTAACAGACTTCCCAGTATTTTCTGCAGCATAGCATGCAAACCACCGGGATAAGGGATGCACTCATTAAACAGGGACTGAAATATTTTATTTTCATGTATGAAGCAAGTATGAACCTCCCACCATCTCCCCAGCTTTGAGAAGATGCAAGAATAATTTGAAGAATGGCGAGGGGGAAAACTAAGCAGTTAGAAGGCGCATTTGAGCATAGTTAAGTTGGAAGGCTATCTTTTTACCAAGCAACGATTCAGGACTATCTGTACTGACCAAGAGTGTGTGCTCTTCAAACCATTAGATTCATGCTATGAATCAGCTGTTTGGACTAACTCATTTCCACAACACGTTAGATGGAACTGTGAGCAGGACGCAGCTTAATGTTTGGTAGTGGCAGTGGGCAAGAAGTCTTCCTTCCTTACCCTGCTAATAAAACAGAATGCAATTAGCGACGTCTAATGTAACACGTTTGTAACTTTTTTAACTGAGCTGTATGGTTGGGGAAATGAGGATTTTTTAAAAGGTTCATCATGTACTTGGTCTGCCGGTAAATGATCATTGATTCCACCCCCCCTTTTTTTTAACTGATCTAGGTTGTATGTTTTAACATTCCATTTGTGTAAAATAATGTACAAGAAGTTAATAAAAAAAATTGAAGCACACTTTCCATTATAACTGGGTATCTTCTGGGCTTTTTAAAACAGGAAACTGAACTCTGATTTTCTGTTGTGTTTTTGGATTTTTGCTGTTAGAAAAACATGTAATGAAGGAAAAGTGGGGTGTATCTTCAACTGCGCCCTAACTCATTCTGGTCCCTATTCACCAGCTGCTATGGGGCAATGGCTTAGTTGTAATTACTATTATTATTTATTAAATTTGTATACGTCACTATACCGACAGGTCTCAGGGCAGCTCACAACATAAAAGCACAATATAAAAACACAAAATGCATAATAAAAATAATCCCTCCCCTCCCCAAAGCATTTTTAAAGGGCATTGGATGTCAGTCAGCCAAAGCCAAGGTTGAAGAGGAACATTTTTACCTGGCACCTAGAGATGTATAATGAAGGCAGCAGACAAACCTCCCTGGGGAGAGCATTTCACAAACGGGGAGCCACTGCAGAAAAGGCCCTGTTCTCGTGTTGCCACCCTCGGGATCTCTTGTGGAGGAGGAACATGCAGAAGGACCTCAGAAGATGATCTCAAGGTCCAGGTAGGTTCATATGGAGAGATTTGGTCCCTATAACTATCGTCCATTTCTGCCATCAGTTCCAGGTGTTCAAATCCTGCCTTCACCCCATGCCAAGAGCCCACACTGTCTAGTAGAGGGGTCGGCAAGGCTTACCGGGCATGGGCTGGATCACTCCCTCAGAGATCCTCCGTGGGCCGGGCCAGTGCAGCACAATGCCAAAAATCGTGTCTGCACATGCCCAGATGCTGGAAATTGCGCCTACACAGAAGCGATTTCTGGCGACGCGGACATGCACAGGTGTCTGGGCATGTGCAGAAGCGATTTCCGGAGCCGCAGAAGAGAGTTGCCACACTGCGCCGGTTTAGTGCTGTGCATGGGGACTTGCCGAGAGGGCGGCTTGGTTCGGGGGTGGCTCGTGGGCTAGTTAAACAGTCTCTGTGGGCCGGTTCTGGCCCATGGGCCTTAGGTTGCCGACCCCTGGTCTAGTACCTTTGGGGGACAGCCCTGTTTAGGGAAGTTTTTAATGTCTGATATTTTATTGTGTTTTTAATATTCTGTTGGGAGCCGCTCAGAGTGGCTGTGGAAACCAGGCCAGATAGGCAGGGTATAAATAATAAATTATCGTCATCATCATCATAGCTCAGTAGTAGAGCACATGTTTTAGCAGTGTAATCCTATGCATGTTTATTAAATCAGGAAGCATTGTGTTTTTAGGATCGCAGCCTAATCCTGGTTTAAGGCCCCAGATTCACTTCCTAGTGTCTGATTTAAATATATGAGAGAGAGAGAGAGAGAGAGAGAGAGAGAGAGAGAGAGAGAGAGAGCGCTGCGAAAGAACATGAAGAGGAGTTGGAACAGGTGCTTAGCAGCCTGGTCCAACTTGGTAGAAGGCAGTTTGGAACAGAAGACCTTTGCGGTCCCTTCCAACTCTCAATTCTATGTTCTATAATTTTGAATCTGTTCTAATAAAGGCTCTGCAAACCTTGCTCAGCAGTTTTGCTAGACACCTTTCAGGTTTACTGACCATAACTTGCTGCACTAGGCTCTGTTGTCAAGGAAGCAATGTGATCACACAAGAACCGAATCCGATTGGAGCTGGATGGGTGGAGCTAGGAGCTGGCTGGGGATTAGTGAGGAATGTTACACAATCTCCAGTTCATCTGCCTCATCTGTGCCTCTGATCTCTCCCCTGTTGTCTGTCCAAACAGAGTCCTAGCAGAAAATAATTTGTTTAAGAGCGTTCTGTATGAACGGGGCCAACTCGTTAAGATTCACTCCTTGTCCGTTTGTTAAATGCAAGCCTGCAAATGTTCAGTCTCTGCACCGCTTGAAGAAAGGTAATATGAAAACTGTCACAAGGCAACTTAGCATAATTAGAAATTAATTTTTTTAATTGCATTTGGATAAAACAAACCCTTTCGTTTGCTCGACCGGCTGATCTTCTGATCTTTAAATTCCCCTCCTTGCTAAAAATGCCACAACCCCACCACAGTTCTTGAGACAATGCAGAGGCAGGGAAGGAACCTATTGCAACAACAGAGAACCATAAAATTGTAGAGTTGGAAGGGATGCATTTGTCTCACACAAAGATGGAACATGCATTGTCGGCACGACACTCTTAACTTCCACAGTTCTAATGCTGCATGCATTGAATTCACCCTTATATCCTCAAAAGAAAACTTACCTTTTAGCCTATGGCTACTGTGAAACCTTTTGAAACTACTAGCTTCCGCTGGCAGCCAACATTATTTTTTATTTATGTATTGAATTTGTATAGGGCATAAGTGGGTGTTGTTGTAAACAAAAATTGCCCTTTTCCCTTATGGGGTATCCAAGAGCCCATATAGAGTCCTTACATAGGTTTCCTATTGGTAGGAGAGAATAACAGAGGCCAACCAGAGAATATTGAGAAGCAAAGCAGCTAGTAAGCTTGATCTTTATTGATCTGTTGCAACAGGGTGCTCCCCTCACCCGCAGGAGAGAGGAGGAACCCAGAAAGATGGCACGCAAGGCCTTATAAAGACTTTTGAAATTGCCACCCTGTAGATCAAGACCACCCCCAGAAACATCATACATACATCACAGAAGGGGTGTAACCTAAGACCACCCCCCAGATACATCACACCTACATCACAGAAAAGGCGGTTTACAACAGAAATTTGAATGTTGTTTTTCTCCTGTCCTTGTTTATCTCCTGTCTGGCAGGTTACTTGATTGGATACCCTGGGGAGCCTGGCCAGTCTTTTGTAGTGATAAATACTTAGTTCCTGGGCCAGGTCACAGGCTCACACCCTATTCATATCTTAAATGTGCCCTTAAGACAGGATTTGTGAGGAAAGAGACAATGGGGAGGTTTCCCACTTTGACCTTGTAGAGAAAACATTTGCTCAGTTTAGGAATCAAAATGGTTCCAGGTTGGTCTTCCTGTGCTGATCTATGTAGGTGCTTGGTTGGTACACTTATGAACATTACCATATATCTAAGACCTTAAAATTCCTATCACAGTGTCTTCTACTGCCACTGGCTATGGTTCCCCGTGAAAATCAACTGTGGGCACCCTTGATAGTCGGGAGTAGCCTTGTTCCGACTTTGCAAAAGGAAATTATTCCAGTCTAGTAGGTGCAGAAGTTCATGTGTGGAATTTAAATGAGCACCTGTGGCCTCCTCACCATCTCTCTCTCCTCTCTGTATTGGCTCTGCCTTCAAATTACGAGGGTTGTGCTTCATTGGTCTAATGTAGTGTACGTGCCTGTAGACTTGCTTAGATATTACATTCCTTATGCCAGAGATGGGACGGGGCCTGTTGGCTGGACTTAATCTGCGTATAACGGGAAACCAGGGACAGATGAATAATATCGCTCGGAGTGCAGTCAGCCGGAGAGTTTCCTGCCTTCTCTATCACGCACTAGAAGGGGAAGATCAACAAGCTATTCTTCTAGGCCTGATGAGATACGGGAGAATCTTGTGTCAACATCATACCTTTTTTCGGTGCAACATGCCGACCCCTCCTGCCTGCCCTCCAGCAAACTGTGGCATGCAAAACCAAAGAACTTCAAACAGCTTGCAAATTGCGGCTCAGCAAAAGCGCTCCTGAACAAGCACAGATGTGTCAAAGCCACAAAGGTTTTCTACCCTTTGCTGTCTGTGCGCAGCACTTTGGAGCGGCAACCAGCCCGGGTTGCACCCTCCGAATTGCGCTGCCCACTTTTTGTGAATTGGGTGGGACCTGGAGAGGTGGTCAGGTGCTTTACACATCACCGGGGAAGACAGGCGAACTAATGCCAGCGTACACTGGTGGCGCTGTGGGTTAAACCACAGAGCCTAGGACTTGCCGATCAGAAGGTCAGCGGTTCAAATCCCTGCAACGGGGTGAGCTCCCGTTGCTCGGTCCCAGCTCCTGCCCACCTAGCAGTTCAAAAGCACGTCAAAGTGCAAGTAGATAAATAGGTACCGCTCTGGCGGGAAGGTAAACGGCATTTTAGTGCGCTGCTCTGGTTCGCCAGAAGCGGCTTGGTCATGCTGGCCACATGACCCGGAAGTTGTACGCCGGCTCCCTCGGCCAATAAAGCGAGATGGGTGCCGCAACCCCAGAGTCGGCCACGACTGGACCTAATGGTCAGGGGTCCCTTTACCTTTTTTTTACTGGAAGGAGCAAAGATCACCAGTCTTGAAGCAATGATTCTTCAACATCAACTTCGTTGGACTGGTCATGATGTGTGGATGCCTGATGATCGTCTTCCAAAGCAACTACTCTATTCCGAACTTAAAAATGGAAAGCGTAATGCTGATGGTCAACAAAAGAGGTTTGAAGACTCTCTCAAGGCAAATTAAAAAAAAAGTAGTATAAAAACTAACCTCTGGGAAACACTGGCCTGTGAGCACTCCAGTTGGAGAACAGCCTTTACCACAAGTGTCGTGGACTTTGAAGACACTCGAACTCAGGACGAAAGGGAGAAACGTGCTAAGAGGAAGGCACGCTTGGCAAACCGTCACCGTGATCAACTCCCGCCCGGAAACCTACTGTGGAAGAACCTGTGAATCTAGAATTGGCCTCCACAGTCACTTCTGGACTCACTTTTAAAACTGTGTTTATGGAAGACAATCTTACTCGGCTACGAGTTCTTGCCAAAGAAGAACCATGTGAATTGTTTGAAGGATATCATATCAGCTTTTGGCTGTGCAGCTTAACTATCCTGACCAACCTGTTGTGCAACAGGTCTCCAGGAACAAACTCCCTCAAGGTAGAATTTCTACCATGAAGAAGTCATGGTATTCTCACCAGACTTTGCCAAGGAAATTTCTGCTGGCTCACAAACTTCATCAAACTGATTTACATTTCCAATGACAGGAACACATTTCCTCAACACATTGGCTAGACATTCACCAAAAAGTTAACCCTTTAGGGTCTGGCGACAGCTCTTTTTGCTGCTGAGCTAAATGCTTTCAAAAAGCAAGATCATTGCCTATAAGGCAAGGTGCAAAC